GTATGTTCTGAGGCCGTGTGTTCGTTCCCTAAGACATTCAACCCATGCAATACCTTGTAAATACTTAAAAGAATACAATCTGATAAACAAGTGAGACCGATAATCTTTGTAAAAATTCCTTGACTTGGAATTTGCTGACCTCGGCTCCAGGGGATAAAGCCAGCATTTTGCTCGCCCCGCTCTTGGACTGATGGTATGTATAATATCATTTATTATATTTTCCATGAGTAAATTATCTTCAAACGAAGTATTTCTGTTCTCAACTTGTTGGTGTTCTACATTAGATCCCAGTGATTTTTCACACTGTGCGAGGCCTTATTCTTGCAGCATGATAACGAACATGTCTTTGACACTGAGCAGAGTTAGTAGCACCTATAAGGAAACTTGGGGAGCAGTGATTTAATGGGACGATTTTTAAAGCATAGTGTGATAAAGTCGATGGTCTTGACCATACCGGCTGCCGGCTCTTGAAAATTATTTCTAAGTGATAAGATAAGTTTTAGTCGTAACTGTGTTTCTTAGTAAACCGACTCGAAAATCAAGATATTAAATAAATATCTTTCTAGCACTTTCTCCTTTCTTTTTTCCAGCTATATATTACAGTCCTTTCATGAGCTAATGAAGCAAAATAGTGCTATTTCCTATTACGTCAAGGATTTTCCGCAATAGTTACACCTTTTGTTCTCAGCCCAATAGCTGATACCTTAATAAGGCCATAAATTTAATCTAGATGACAACGTCTTGCGACAAAAAAAGTTGGCTTGTGAGGTTGACGTTAACGCCTTCATTAAGGTTTTCTTATATTTCTGTGCCGCGCGAAAGCATGAGGGCAAAGGAAGCTTTCTGCCCTTTCCCTCATGGTGACTCCAGTCTTTCACTCTCTTTATGTCGCCTGCCTTACCGAAAATGACGACTAGTGACCAGGAATGATGAAGATTTCTATAGTTACTGCCACTTTAATCGAGTCACGCTTACAATAGTGACGTCTGAAATGGCAAATGTCAATTCTCGGCCGACACCTTGATTTTTCCTCTCTTTCGCTCGATTTTCTCTTGATTTTAAATTGTTTCAAGAGAAAATAATGGCACTTTAATAATATCTTACTTAAACTGACTGCAAAACTTTATGATTTGACAACTTGCCTCAAAAAGTTTTCATGTGCCACGCGGGCTTGTGCTTGCCATGCGCATGTCTACTTTTTCTTTGTGGAGCAAAATTGTTTCAGGAATGAATTAATATTTATGCTTATAAAAGTAATGGTCTTCTGTGTAATTGAACCATTTAAGAGGCATAGCCATAGGATCTGTAGTCAGGGATTCAGTGTTGGTTAAACCTGTTATTCTGAGACTGATAAGAAGACTAATTCAACACTAATCAGTCTCCTTTATGTTAATAGACTGATAGATTCAATGTCCTCGAATCAGTTCCTTTTTTCGATTGACTGCTAAAACCTAGTTCACTGGTTCATTTATATCGTAACACAGAGTAGAAGCAAGAGCAGAAACTTTATATCTTCTCAGTTTGTATTTGCAGGAAACCTTTTGAGATCTTTTGAGTCTTAGATCGCGGAGTTCTTTCTATAGCTTTATTTATCGCAGAGACATAAATGTTTAATTAAACGCACTATCGAAGCGCTGGACCGTCAAGGTGTGGCAAGTTTTGGTTGTATAGCTGGAAATGCTCCAAATTAACGGAATTGTTGGATAAATAATTCATTTTCTGCAGGTGTGTTCTGGATGATATTTATGCCACCATACTAGGATATTTCAGGGTGTTACATGAATTGGAAAGAAAGGAAAAAATTCACACATACCAAGTCTTAACGCGGAGAAGACACGAAACTATTTTTGCAACAAAATTTTAAAAACGAGGAAAAGTACTGACAGCTATCTTGAGTATAAAGTATCATCTGCCCTCTATGGAGTCCATTTATGTATGATTATAAACAAAATCCAGTTTACATTGACTGGTGGTTCTATTGATATAAGATAATTTTAAGGTATCACCAACAACAAAGGACAACTTTTAGCTTTGACCAGCCGCGCCTTTCTAATAAAATAATATTTTTTACAATACGATAATTAAGCTGAACCCCGGACTCAAAACCTACTTTTGCCGCTTGTTTTATTTTTAAAAGGCTTATGAAAACCCACAAAAGCAATAAGACAATCGGCTCTGAGGCAATCAGTCTACGATTATATATATTTAGTGAAGTTGGAATATAGGGGTGGTGTCCGGTGATATCAGCCGACAACCATGTGAAAGATGGCTAGCAGATAGAAAAAAAAAATTATATATTGCTGTATCTTTTACATGTAACTGGTACAAGGCGTAATATGATGTATAGTCTATGGAAATAAAAGGCATAATTCACACATGAATGGCAGCTAAGTTGTTATTTTCTCACCGTAATCTGTGTGGGTTTATCAATAATATCGGAAGCGTTCCCAACTGGATGTGACTATCCAACTTCTTGCCAAGTTCGTTCTAAATCAACTTGTAACGCTGAAAGCAAACGGGCTACATTTTAAGCTTTTGATGTAGGCGCCGAGCCAAATTTGAACAAACCTCAACACCTCCAATACCACAAACATTGTTCAAAAGCTGTCTTCTCCAACAGGTGGTAAAACTGGTACCCGGTGCCCGCACACGCTTTTCAGCGGTCTTCGAATTTTTGGTTTACCTCTCCTTAACTCAACTTTAAAACTTATATTAAAATTTTTTTTCTTTTTTTTTTTTTCAGTCTTTATTTATCAATATACTTTCTCAATTCAGATTAGAAGACAAGTCCTAGAGCTTTATCGTTTTGTTATTCGGGTTTATTTTTAGGTTTTCAATTACCTATTTCGGCAAGAGCGCGCTGTGGGCGTCGGTTTGAAGCAGGGTACTTAAATAAGACAGTCACAGTCGCCTCTTTGAAGAGGAACCCGAGCGGTGAATGACATGTGAAAAAACATTCGCACATTGTTGACTTTCACGTGCTAAAGCGAGACTAAATCGTTCATGTAAATTAGAACTTTTGCCAGAAAGAAACATTTTGACGCTATAAAGTTGGGGTGTGGCTTCTAATAGATATCCCTAACTTAATAAGAGTTGTTTTTATTTATCGCAAAAGAAATCCCAAACTGTATCTAGAGAAGAACATAATTGGAACATGAAAATTCTTTAGAAACTAATAGCTGATCTCTACCTTGAGTGAGAAATAACAATTCGTTGATCGCATAACTACTTCAGAATTTAGGCTGGTGTTTTTCTGAGCTTCGTGCCATGAAGATTTAGTGCGTTCTCCAATTTCACACGAAATGTCCTTGAAATCTAAATCCTCACCTTGCAAATAGCCCTACTAGCGTATGAAATTCATCCAAGGCTTTTAAAAATCAGTAATTTAGTGTTAACAATTGAGTTGAAAACGTAAATTGGCCACCGTAAAGGTAGTTCTGTTATTCATCATCCTTATATAAAAATCAGTGAATTCATGTAAAATTAGTATTTTATCGATGAGGCGGATCGCAGTAAAAGAACGTTGACAACTTATGTCCCTCACTGATGGATAACAAAACGACCTTTGACGATCATGATTTGCTCGGAAAACAGTCAGCCCGTCAAATCATTGGTTGCAAGTATCCTTACTTATGAGAATTATACCCTTTGTCTTTTGTAAATGACACGTACTCATGCACGTGAACAGGACGAAATTTGAAAGAAAGACTTCTCTTGAATATCATCACATGACCTACATTGACAATAAAAAAAGCTAATTAGGGAGTTATATTAAATATTTACTCTAGTCGGATAAATTCTCAGTTGCTCTGTATTAAGGTGGCACCATTAAACAACACTTTTAAAAATCTTCTGGCTGAAGGTACCGAGTGTTGGCAATCGCCTTACTCGGCCGGGTTCCCAAAGGAGAGCTGATCTCATGAAACAAAAATAACCACAATACAGTACTTACAATAGTCAACCATGTAAATTAAATAAAGCTGTAAATAAATACATATTTATTTTTACGTTTGCAATGCCTGACGCTAACCGGTAAGCTGTGTAAGGTCTCGTGGCAACCTGGTAAGAACCAGGGGTCTGATATTAACTAGGACCCAGATCTAAACGGAAATTACATTCAATATGGCGTCCGTACTTTTTAGTCAGGACTGGCCTCAGATGGTGGATATTCAAGCCGTCCTGACGGGTATACTGATGTCCTTCCTTAAATTTGTTATCCTTTTGGACAGACCGCCTTGTTTAAATTCTTCCTTCCGACTGCGATCATGTTTTATGTCAAAGATCAGCGAGAAAAATAATTTTTTTGGTCAAATTTTATATCATTAGAGGTAGCAAATACCGTAGTGGGGTCAGCAACGAATCGTTAGCGAAATAAGAGATAAATTTGACGGCTTGCGATGTCCTAATTGTTTGCGGAAACCGCTGGTGAGGTGGCTGAATTTTTATTCCGACGATAGTAGATAAAAAAAGCGGTGTTTCAGTCTTCAGAGTATGCCGATTATGGCAAAGTTCCTCGAGATCTCGTGCGTGTAGAGCCGTTTTTAACCGCATGCACCACCTACGTGCATTACTTCCGGTAGCATGGTATTCATTATGGCTTGCGAACCATAATGACGATAACGATATCACTTTAACTTCAATTTTTCCTTTCTTAAGCTCTCGCAGCTTCCACGCTTGTTTTCGCGCCGGCGTCAGAGCGCATACTGAACTGCCTTTAACACAAATAAATCTATTGAAGTCATTGGTGCCAGTGGCTCGAACGATAATTCCGACAATTTTTGCGTATACGACTTCAACAGAGACTTGACAATATTGCATTTATTTATGGTGAATAAAAAAGACGGAATATCGCGCCGCAAGTGTACGGCAAGAAATACAGGCAGGTTCATCTCTGCTCCATGTTTGCCGATCATATTCGATCCCGCTAGGAGAGCTGGAGACTTGACTTCCGGTGTCGCTCGTATTTGAGACTGGGTACGAAATATTGTGTTTACATCGATCCGCTCTAAACTCAATTTTTGACACGTTGCCTTCCATGTAATACCTAACTGGAAATTTGAGACTTTCCTCTGGTAAATCGTACCTTGGATTATTTAGTAATGCTCCCGATAATCGAGGATGAAGTGAAACGTTTTTACACCGAGCTCAACTTAGAAAAACCCATTGTACAGAATCCATTCATTCACCGATTAGTCATCACTAGTTGGAAGAAAAAAATTGAGGTAAGCCTTGCCTAAGTTATTGCGTTACTACTAGGATTGATCTTTTCCTGACTACGCTAACATCTCGTAATAGTGTTTATTTTGCTATTAGTTTACTAGAAACATAAAAAATGAAGGTGAATTTTTGTTGTAGCTTTGACAGTTTGTGCTTGTAAACCATCGTAATTGCAACGCTAACTCCTTGAAGTGAGAGAACCGTACAGTGAGATGTCGTTATGAGATTCAACGTTGTCATAACGCAAAGTTTGTCAACCTTTCCAACATTAAACTACCTTTAATGCGAGAGGAAAGATTCTCGCTAATTGTGTTCACATTTTCGATGTGTGATCTCGCATCAGTATTCAATTCGAATGTCACCTGTGGACATGATTCGCTACGAACACTCGATATATTTATTAATCTTTAACAATTTTAACCCAATGAAAATTTGTACAGCTGTTAATATTCAACAAACAATTTAGGAGTTGTTTCGTTTTCTATTGACTTTTCAATTTTCGTTTTACAAATAGTGAAACGTCATTTAAAATACCCTACTTTTCGTCTGCAGACAATTTCGCCTACAGGTTATAAACAATCTGCCAGTTTACCATTATTTATGGTAAACAATAGAGATTACCTGTCAAATGAGGCATTTTAATTTCTTTAACCCTAGATCACAGATAGGTTTTATAATATTTATCATAGCTTGTTCTGAAGTGTAGCCGTCAACCTCTTCAGTTTGTTCTAAGGCAGCACCATTTAAAATATGGTTGAGTACGGTACATTGCCAGTGATTTAATACACTCTAGGCTAAAAAAAAAGGACTAGGTTAAAACGATATATTTGCATGTGTATTATAACAAAAGTAAACTATTTTTTATTCCAAATAGTTTAGAATTTTTAAAAGTTTAGTGTTCATTAGCCCAGTGTTAGAATCGTGTTTTAATTAAGTCATTTATTGTTTAAACAAGACACTCATCAATAACAGTTCGGCAACTGAAGTGGGTAAGCTGTCTAACTATTTTCAATTATCTTATGTGATTAGTGTAATTATCATATCTCTTGGTTACTATGTAAGCTATGGTTGGTCAATTTAGCAGGCTGTATTTCAGTGTACAGCATGTTACATTCAAAAGTTTATTTGAATTTCAATCTTCCCCCTCTATTTGAGATATAATAAATATCTTACAAACCTTATCTTCTTAATCTGTATTGTGAGTTACAGAACCTCTGCTCAGCTTTATGGTCCACGGATTCACGCTTGTGGCATAAATCTGAGAATAAAAAATGAGGTTCAATAACTTACAATTAACAAATCAGTTTGTAAAAGGTGTTTATTTATCCACCTTTGAAAACAGGTCTTGATTGTTATTAGTTGTACTTAATAATTTATTGAGAATGTTTGAACTTTCAATCCTGATTCCACTGTTTTGTTTCTTTTGACAGATTTTCCTATGTTTGATATTCCTTTTCCCAATTCGCCTTTTACTTGGTATTTTGCTTTTTCTATTTGCGGGGATTTGGTGTTTTTTCACCACTGTTGGTTGGAATCCGCAAGATTTAAAGACTCCCTTAACCCCACGGAGAAGGTACTTACAAATTGATTGTAAACTCCCAAGATCATTTAGTAGTTCACCTTACTGTCTGCCATGCAATTATTATAATGTTAGATTGGAGAATTTGGTATTAGATCAATAAATAATCCCCATATTGATATTTCTCTGTATTCTCAACACTCATTTGCTTGATATTGTATTTATATCGTAAGGAGAAATTCTCTCTTGGTCACACATGGGAGTTGAAGGGTTAACAGGAAATGCCTAACTTGATATTCCATGCTCTTTAATACAATGGCTGCACATATAAGGCATAATTTAGATGGAACAAACCCATTTTTTAAAATTTATTATTATAAACCTCATTAAAGTGAATGTCATTTCTCCTTGAAATATCAGATGGATGAAGGACTTCCTTCCCATTATTGTGCGTTCAATATTGTTTGCCCTGGGCTTTCACAGAGTGAAGATAAAAGGAAAATTAGCTCTCCCATCTGAGGCTCCTGTGACAGTGATTGCTCCTCATTCTTCCTTTTTGGACATCCTGTTGTTGAGTAAATATGGAAAAGCTCCATCAGGAATTTCAAAAATGGAAAATCTCAATAGCCCCTTTCTTGGAGGTGAGTTTGTTAGCGAAAGTCATGAATTTCTATGCATCAATAGTTAAATACAGATAAAAATACTCTTACTTACCAGGTAAAAAATTTAGCTTTGTTTGTTTTTAGTGATTTAGTTTTAGTGTTTTATTGTTAGTTAGAACTGTATAGTTATTTGATTAAATTATGTATTCTTAACTTTTATTACAAATGTTGTTAAAAAAAAAAAAAATTAAAAATTATATCTAAGTACTTTATGAAACACAAACTAAGTGAAATGTGACTATGATGTTCTGAACAATTATCCAATTTCTTATGTCTTCTCATGAACTCTCTTTGAATCACAAATAGTTCACATTTGCCTAATGTATTATTTAAAAACTTTTAGTGAAGTGAATTGATTTTAAATAATGTTATGACAATGATTAATAGACCTCATTTATCCTCCTTCAGTTATACCTATTATATGCCTTTTAACTTGATTTGCTCTTACTGTCTTAAAAAGGGTCCCTTAAGATTGAAGGCCTTGAGCAAGGCATAATTTTCACTATAACCAGTCTGCATGTATGTTATTATTGTTTTCAAATCTTATTCTAAAATCTCTGTCTAAGAAGTTAGAGGAGGCTCACAAAGTTGACATGCAACAATAATTTCATCAGGTGGAAAAATGAACCTTTAATTTCTCAAATAAGGTCTGGGTTTTAACACCTATTAAGGGGCACTCCTCTACCTAAATTCCCCTTAAGTAACCTTCCCCTCAGGTCAACAGTTATAGCCAGATTTCTTTTTTTCAGGTTTTTTTCGATGCCTTGAGTGCATTGGTGTTTCAAGAGATATCACAAAATCCAGACAAACAGCTGTCAAGGATTTACAATACAGAACAATCACTACAAGAGGACAGTGGCCACATATATGTATTTTTCCTGAAGGTAATATTTACACGTACCATTGTCAATCAAGATAAGATTGCCTGGATGATTTAAGTGATTCAGTTTATAAAGTTAGAAAGAATTGTTGCTTGTTAAGGATATTCATTTTTAAATATGTTACTAGTTGGTGTATTCAAGCCTTCAAAATGAAACGAAGAACAGTTAACGTACAATGTTGTTCATTTGGACTGCCTTATCAGTTCTGTCACATTGATCTTGGTTTGAAACCTAACAAAAGCAGACTTAAAATACATTTAAGTTCACATGGCCACCAGGTGGACAGTCAGTCATGGTTTGATGCTACTTCAGTTTACAGATTTAATGAATGTAACTGAAGAAGTTACTATTCATAGACCCAACATTTTGACACTCCTGTCTGGTGCCTTCATAAGGGGTGATCTAAACACTGCAACAAGAGGTCCTTTTATATGATCGCTAATTAGCTGCCTTTTTTCTGACAAGGTGTGATTAGGTGTCAGGAAGTAAGCCGCCATCATCACTATTTAAAGGAGCAGACTTGTTAAATTTAACTTGTAAAGAATAATGGGTTCTTGTGATGAGTGAAGGACTTGAACCTGCACATTCAATGGTTGACATGACATGGTAGTTGTAATTATTAAGTTATGAAAGGCCCCTGTTTTTTACTGGGTGTTACAATTTCTGTTGCTCTCTTGCATTGCTCCTTCATAGCTTTCACAACCTGTTACAAGTAATAATATTTAATTAACAGCTGACTATGGCATACATCAACTGAAAGAATGGCTCAATTTCCCACATGTTTGCCAATTTAAATTGTTTGTTGGTGTCTAGTAGTAAATATCTGTTGTCAGTGATACATTTTCCAATTAGTAATAAGTTATTCTTGTTAATAATATCAAGAGAAAATTCATTGCAAAACTATTTCTCAAACTCTTTTATTCCTCAGGTACTTGTACAAACAGAAAGTGCCTAATATCTTTCAAGCCAGGTTAGTCTGCAAAATGTCAACTAAGTCTGATCTTTATGTCAGTGCAAGCATGGTGGGCTGGGTACTAAATGAGCTGGTTTCGCACATGACAACACGAAACTTGTGAGTCTTTGTCATAAATTTCTCAAGCTCTCTCAGTACAGCTCTCTCAGTAACTTGAAAGCAATCTAGTAATGATTGACATTTTAAGCAAGAAATCATACCTCTGTCAATACAAATCATACTTAGGGCACAATATTGAGCAAGGGGCATTTCATGTCCTGAAGAATAAGGGAATTTAGTGAGAACAAGAATAACAGTCTGACACAGTTAACTTGTATAGGTGTTAGTTAACCCTTTAACTCCCATGAGTGACCGAGGTAGAATTTCTCCTCACGATATTAATATGGTATCAACCAGATAAGTGATAAGAATAAAGACAAATATCAGTTTGGGGATGATTGGTTGATCCAATACTAAATTCTCTGAACTTACATTATAAGAATTGTAAGGTGTCCAGTAAGGAAAGTTATAAATTTTATCTGGGATTTAAAGAGTTAACATTGTTTTGTATGGTGTCAATTAAATTGATGCAACTAGTCAACTTGACTTTTCATTTTCAGGAGCATTTATTCCAGGATGCCCTGTGCAACCAGTTTGTCTTCACTTTCCAGTAAGATATCTTATGTACGCTGACTTGTGGTAATATTACTTAATAAACAAAATTTAGAGGTCTTTGTAAAAAATAAGTTTGCCGCTTTTTGAAATTTAACCATTAATTTTCATAGCAAGTTTGTGTCATTGACAGTTGCAAATGTCAACTGTAAGATGTGAAACCTGGAAACAACTGAAATGTGTACAAAGTAGATTAAAAAAGAAACTAACTGACAATTACTTATTTTAGTTAAGGATTTGTCACATTCTCAAGAAGGCAAGCTCTAGATGGCCCTAGAAAATGAAAAGTGATTCCTGTTGATGTTACAAAACCATAATTGATCTTTAACCTGAGATATTCATTTACATACTTATACCTTTTTTTTTTTTCTCTCTTTTAATTTTATAGGATTTATATGCTTGGACTTGGGATGGACCTGGAGCGTAAGTTAACCAGATATGATTTCTCCATGCTGCATATAATCATTTACCAACTGAAGAGAAATTGGGTGATTGGAAAGAGAGGGGGGCAATCAGGGCTTCTGCGTGGAGATACTGATTTCACATTAGAAGTTAATCTTTTGCTTGAGGTGAAAATTAAAGTTTTTTTTTTTTTTTGTTTGTTTGCACTGGGAATTTTGCTTCAAGAATTGCTGTCAACTTTCTTTTCTTGGATTTCATTTCCATGGAAAAATTAATCTGGGAGTTGTTGTCTGTTCTATTTCTTTCATTCAGAATATGAGATCATAATTAGTATGTATGAAGGTGCGCTGAGAACCAACTTCTTTCTGAGATAAAGAATTGTGGAATAAGAAGAATTGCCAACTGACTTATTTTCAACATAATCTTGAATTACTTGACTTGCAAGGTTAAAAATGAATTATTTGCACCATAAGAATATCTTCAAATTTTTATTTTGTACAGGTTGATATTGGGCCTGTTACTTATGTGTCAAGTGAATAATGAAGCTGAAGTAGAGGTGAGACTTTCAGCAGAGTATCTTTACAATAAGTTATTATTCATCTTCACTTTGGTGTGCAATGGTTACTGGTGTTGACAAAATTCATTAGTTATTCATTACTGAATATCACAATTTTTTTCCTAACAGTTTTTGCCTGTTTGGAATCCAACAGAGGAGGTAATTGCATGTGTTCAATAGTGCACCATTTTCATTCAAGCCAAGTTAAATGTCAGTGTCTTTCTAACACTCCACTGAAATTTGTGATTTCAGGAAAAGGAGAATCCTAAACTGTATTCAGAACGTGTGCGAAAGTCTATGGCAAGGTATTTTGTTACTTAGTACTATTATAGTTCAAACTAAATGTTGTTCCCTTACTGACCAAATTTCTGCTGGAAAAACTTTTTTTCCTTGTAAAGGGACTGACCTACATCATGATTAAATTACCCCCTTTCTTGCTCCCTTTTTGTTTTTGGAGGGGGGGGGAGTGGTGGGGGGAACTGATAGTAGTGACATTTTTTCGAAGAAGAAATTTAAACTTGCTTTAGTTAATTTTATGGTACACAATAGGTTCTGATTTAAATTCAGTAACAATTTTTCATCAGATGTTTGAATGTTCCTGTGACTGGTCATTCATTTGAAGACACTTTACTTATGGAAGCGGCAACAAAGCATGGTTTACCATCTGAAGCAGGAATCATTGAATTTAAGGTCACTGCTACTAAACTAGGGTAAGTCTCCTTTTGTTAATGATATCTGATTTGTTTGTGGAAAAGTTACAAAAAATGTCATTTTTACCGACAGGGTAGGACAAGGGTGAAGTTGGTTTTTTTCAATTGAGTTGATAATGTAAATTGGCTGTAGTAAAGAGTTTTGAAAGCTGACATTTCAAGCATTAACAAATGACAAAGGGCTAACATCAGCTTTCAAAACTCTTTACAGTGACCAATTTAAAATGTCAATTCAGGTGATAAAACCAAATTATCTTGTACCCCCCTCCCCCACCCACAGATGCAGTGCCATAGTTTCTCTCAAAGCTTACTGCCTTTGAACAAAGAGATGAGTCAGTGTCCTTTTTTTGTCATAAGCACATTTAGACATCATGATGATGATGATGATGAGGATGATTATTAATCCTTTAAACCCTTACAGTGACCAGCTTGTAATTTCTCCTTACAGTCATACTGCTGAGTCATTTATTAAGATCATGAGAATAAAGGAAATGCCAACTCAAGAAGCTTTGATTGTTCATCAAATTCTCCTTGTCAGTACTAAAGGAAAATGTATGGAGAAGAGTGTGGAGAATATAGATACTGATGTTAGGTTGTAAAGGGTTAATCCTCAGTTTATTACGGTTTTGAGTGCAGGGATTTTCATGGTACGTTTTTGTCAAGAATGAAAACGGAATCAAATGAAAAGTTGATCAGTTATTTTCATCTCAGGAACAGTTTGATAATAGCTAACGGTCACTGCTACAGAGCTTGTCACTAATCTAAACAAGGAAACATGTTGCAGTTGTACTTCTCCCCAATTGCAGTCTAATGCAGCGGATACAGGACCTGCTGACAGATGCAATGCTGGTTGTGCCCGAAATAAACTTATTTTCTCCTGTTTGTAGAATAAATCTGGATACTGTGAAGGAACATCTGAAAATGTTTGCCGTCCTGGATTCAGATAAGGATGGTTACATTTCGTTGAAGGACTTTGCACTCCATTACAAGTTGCCAACGTCACCACAATTAAGGGAGCTCTTTTCAGTCTTTGACAGGGTAAGAGTTCAGTTGAAGTAGAAAATACGTTACTGTAGTTTATCCATCCTTATGTTATCAATCCACTACATTACTGTCAAACAGAAGTTGTCAGAAGGAGCATATCCAATAGAAATTATCTGTTGATTATTCCTGTTTGGGTCTTTTGTAGGAAAATAAAGGCGTCATCAGCTTCAGGGAGTACTTAATCGGATCGGTTTGTTTAGCCAGGGTAGCAGCTAAGAAGGAGGTGGCCGGGAGCGCATTAAAGGTAGTCTCTCATTTGCTTTACTTAATGGAAAAATTTAGGTACAGCCTGCATCATATCACTGTGAAGGCTATGGGTCAGCTTTATTGCCTTCAGTAGGCCTCTGGTCCGCGCCCGTTTTGGCCGCCATGCCCAGTAGAAAAAAAAAAGGCCACGAAATTTGTTGGAGAGGTTTCTAAGTGGTGACCTGTATTTGGAAGTTTTGTAACAAGCGGTAATGTGTCCAGTACTTCGTGTTGATGGTCTAAATGTCCAAGTCGTATGCTAAAAGAGGAAGAAATTAAAATTTCTGTAGACGGCAAATTATAACGTTGATGTTGGCCCTATTTAGAATTGGTGCATCGATTAGAGAGACGGTAGAACCCATTTCTCAAGAAACCAGGCAGTTATCGGTTTTCAAAAGCTGCTTTTTACAGAATCTCGTGTATGTAATCAAGATAGAGACATTAAGATAGTGTTGAAATTCACAGAATGAGAATATCACAGGAACTGAACACAATGGAATTTTCTTTTATCTTATTCCAGCAATAACATCCCAAAGATTTAAATTTAAAATAAGGCTTCGGGTCCATGATATCACCGAAACACGGGCCATGTAACGGGATCTAACGTCTAGCAAGGTTGTATTCCAAACTACTCGGTAGCCCTGAGGCGGTAGCTGTTGCTGGTAAAAGCAATGTTTAAGTACTCGTCATTTATGCGACACAAATTCTTCAACCCTCAATCATCAGTCTTTTCATTGCTGTTCTCTATACATTTTGTAAGGTGCTGACAAGGAGAATTTGTTTTACAATCAAAAGCTTCACTAGTTGGTGATCATTTCCTCAATTCTCATAACCGTAATGTTTGATTCAGGGGTAATATTGTAGGGAGAAATTAGATGCTAGTTACTTTTAGTGGTTTAAAGGTTGGTGATTCATACATGTGGCACACATTATAACTCTAATTATTTATCAATTTTGTCAGGCTCTTCAAGAATACAGCAAACCGACGCGCAAGATGATCTCTAGTAACCAGCAGGAAAGTATTCTCAAGAGCGTGGTAAAGACTATTGATGACACCTACGCAGACAACCATAACGTGAGGAGTAGAAATGGTAGGTATTTTTACTTACAGGTGATTGGTGTTCAGTCTTAATTTTATTGTCATCCCAAAGGTTTATCAGCCACTCAGTCACTCACTCAGTCAGTCACTCAGTCAGTCAGTCAGTCCATCAATCAGTAAGTCACACAGTCAGTTTGTTTGCTAGTTAGCCAGCTGTTGGGTTAGTTAGTCAGTGATCTAGTCAGTCAGCCAATCAGACAGTCAGTCGGCCAGTTAGTCAATTAGTTAGTCAGCTATTCAGTAAATCAGTCAGTTGTTCGAAGGGTGAATTAGGCTGTCCATTGGATAAAACCCTATGCGGTGGATATTGCAGTGAGTTTTGTTAACGCTTATCCAATTGACAAAGATTTATCTGTTAGTTATCAACTCTTCACCGAGGCGGAGGCGGTCTGCCAGCAGTAAATATCCACCGCTAGCCACCGACACAGAGGTGAATAGTTGTCTTATTATATACTAAAACAGTCGGATAATATAGCAAAAAGAGATGATTTTAACTCATGTATTCCTGCAACCATTACAATATTTTCGGGCGCAAGTTTCTCAGAGGTAAAGGATATTCGGACGCTTCGACGTTATCCAATGTTTTGGTATTAACTAAGTAGCGTCATCCACCCTTTGAAAAACTGGGCCAAAACAGGTAGTTTGCCATCATCTCGTCTTTGTTCTTCGGTACGTTAGCCAGCCAGTCAGTCAATCAATTGGCCAGCCTGTCTAGTTGGCAGTAAGTCAATCTGTTAATTAGTCTTTTGGGTTAACAATCTTTCAGTTAGTCATTCTTTTGGCCAGCTAACTCATAGTCGGTTGGTGGGTTGTTCTGTCAGTAAGCCAGCGTGCCAGTTGACATAATTTTTTTTTCGTCTTATTCATATAATCGTTCAAGTTTCTTGGGTGGCCAATATTTCTTTTTTCATTCAGTAACGATAACTACATTCTATAGTCGCAAACGCTAATCACTCGTATTTCAAACTTGACACATTGTTGAATACGGTAACTGAAAATGACAAAATTACAAACACGCGAATGAGCATAAAATAACTTACATCGTATGAGTGAAAGTACTGGAAAACGACAAAGCGAAATAAACAAGAACACTTACAAGACGAATGTGACCAAACCAAAGACGAAAACATGAAACCCAGAGCTAGATATGTAACGATAATTTTCGCAAACTAGACAACTAACCAAATAAATTACGCGCGAACAATATATATACGATATGCAAATAAATATAACAAGCATTGGTAACTGACAAAGGACACTAATGAAGACGAGAAACTTAACACCTAACACGAAACTTTGAAACACCAACACTAAAAAAAAAATGATAATACAAATTCTTGCGCCTACACATTCCTTTAATCATATTTGTATTTGCAGAAGAGTTCCAAGAATTTCTTTCCAATCACGATGAACTAACTGTTTTGCTGTCAAGTGTGCTACCTCCAGTTGAAACTGGCGTGCAAGAGTCCAGACTCATCTAAGAATTATTACTATCAATGACTGCACACTGATAGTTGGAAATCTCGACTTTTGTATGAAAAATGTTTTTATAGGACTGAGTTATCTCAAAACGAAATGAGGAGGGATATGAAGCTGGGAATAGAGCTACAATTTATCACCTGAATGTATTTGTAAAGATGTGAGATTTGCTTACGAATGAGGCGAATGCAAATAGAAGCTGCCCTGTGTTGAGCCCTGAAAATTGGAGTCTTCACAACGTGCGTTACAATCATTATTTATCAATTTGTTCAAATGGGTACAGAATTTTGTAATATGAAAATATGTCATAAATGCAGCCCATGAAAGTGCGTTAATTATTTATTATTTAATAGCCATCAAAATTATTATCGAGTGGCTAAATAGACGATCAGATTATTTATGTAATTTTGGGTTGAATGTTATTTAGACAGAGCAAATTTCCGGAATTTGACTTTTTTTTATTACAGTGTTCATGAAAACGAAAAGAGTGCGAGATCAATGCGATAAATATTTGAGGCCCAGTGCAAACTTACAAATTAATAGTAATCTGTAAAAGTTTTTGTTTATTTTATTGAAGAGGATTCAGTGGGACAATTGCGAGCATCGTCTCCATTTAGTTTCCACTCGCTCTCGCAGCATCGTCTGTATGATTTCCTTGTAGTAATTCGCCAGGAGTTGTCTTTCTGGTTTATTATAAAGCAACTTACAAATTGAATTTGTCGAAAATAGATTCCAAGTAATTAGAGGATTGTATTTGAAAAGAAATCACAGAATACTAATCAATGAAAGTGGTAAATAATATTGATAAATGATGTTGATAAATGATATGAATAAATAATATGTTAGACTAAAGTAATTGACGAAAGCAGCTACTTGTTAGACACTGAGGGTATTTCCTTGGTGTTGTAGGGTCAAGTAGTGTAAAATCTAGATTCAGGTTTCTTGGGTGAGCAGAATTAAATAAAAGTAGAATGTTGACAAATTTATACAATTAATAGTACCTTGAATTTAATGAGATTTGATGAGAATAAATGAAAGATTTCCAAGAAAAATGTTCCTTGATTTGTCTCACAAGGAAGGATGTTTTACTATTGGCGCCGAAGGTTAACCAATATAAGTAAAAAAGTTTGTGGGTGCTTTGTATGACTGCCCATAACCGTTTGCATTTGTAACGGTATTGGAAGCGAAGTTCTACTATTGAAAAACTCACATTTGTACAGTATATTTTTATATTTGTCATTTGGATATACGACCAGTACATTTTAAGAACTTATGAAACATTTAGCGAGGAATCTAATAAAATTTTGGTATCTTGGAAGTGGCAAAGAGTTTTTTTTTTTTTTTTTGAAATGAGGCGAGGAAATATACAGTACATTACAGTACATATATTACAGTATATCATTATGCGTATATGTTTCCGATATCACAAGGAAACTCAGATGTGAATGATACATTTTGAGCGCAGCTCAAGAAAGAGCAAGTTTGATTCGAGTGTTCTGATCAAAACTCATTAGGATATCTTATAGTGCATCATGAAAGCTCAGTAATGTAAAGCTAGGCGCGTAATAATTTATGTCAGCTAGTGGCACGGCACTTTTGTCGCTCGCAATGCATTCATCTTCTTGCTCGCTTGATTGGATGAACATGCAGGACATGTGAGATGTTCAGTGACAGCGTGGACCGGACAGTAGCCTGGAACGGGGTTTTGTTGAGTTGTCTCGCGCACATTGCGTCATAACCTTTGATTATGACGTCAAATTTCAATCCGTTCTGTTTTGCGCATCTAAGTCATGCGTTATTTTTCGTGAGAGGAAAAACGCGTTGTTGTTGCAGTTTGGAAATTGACAATTTTACTTAATGTGTCGGCAGCTTACATACTTTGACAGAGGATACGTAAGCCGTGAAACAAGGTTAGAATCAGTTCTAATATCATTATTTCTCCGCACTCGAAATTTCTGAGCAGAAAATGTATGAAATAATTTGAACCTTCTCGTTAAAGCGCTAACTTTTCTTAACCAATTACGGTTTTACCAGGTTTTTATTTGATGTAAGCAAGAAATTTAGAAGGAGTCTAAAACCTAACATAAAGAAATGATTAACCGATGGGGCAGTTTACAAACTTTTCAGACAATTTCAGCCCAGGAAACAAGTTGGCGGTTGCCATTGTGGTCTGCGCTAGTCACGATTGCGTTCGCACAACTAGTGCGTGAGCCATGGCCACGTAAGTTACCGGTATTTCATATCTGAAGCGAGTGTTTTAGAGGTCGCTTTTTAGTTAATCATACAATCCATAAATTTCCGACGTCAATTATTTTGTTGCCGATCACTAGATCATTAGAGGACAGTCGCTCATTTTACAATTTTACAGTTTACTTCCTTTTGAGATTGTTACCTTTAACGATTTAAGAAGATTTAAGAATACCTAAACACTGTCAACGACTCGTTCTGCGCATTGTCTACATTCTTCTAGTAAAAATAAATTTAAGGAACTAGAAATTGAAGATCAAATATTTTTAACCTTGAAAAAATGAACAACATATTGTCCCATGCAAAACTATTCTCGCAAACTTTCTTATGGAGGTTAGACAAGACTGTCACTTTTCATCGCTACAGCTTAAACCTTTCCCACAATCAAAATGTAAACCGCGAATGACCGAATCATATTGAGCTGACTAACTAACTGAAAAACTGACTTACTAAACTAACTAAATACTTCATAACAATAAACATCTTGCAAATTTCTTTTGTCTCAGTGGCTCATTTTACAATTTTAAAGTTTACTTTTTCGATTTAAGAAGATTTGACTGCACTTTGACGTCCATATCCTTTTTTCCCACATTGTACTTTTCTCACACTTTTTTCGTACTTTGACTGCACTTTGACGGCATCTTTCCCGTACTTTTCCTACACTGAATTGAAAGCTGGCTTACCGAGGTCTTTCGGGAAATTGCTATATGACTCGCTGAGAAAATATGGACTGGACTGGACTGGACTGGATCTAAATTGTTGGCGGAGTGAACGTGAATGGAAACGAAATGGTCGGTCGATTGGATATGGGATACTCTTTTAATCGATTTCCTGATCCCTTTCATCGTTCATTTCGTCTCTTTTGAACACCATTTCTTTTCGTCAATAAAAAAAAAATGCAAACCAATGCACGAGCCTGTCGGTGAGTACGTTTTGAGTCTGTCACTAAGTTTTGCAATGAATATGTTCGGGATGAGCAGAAAGTCTGTTGAGAAATACCACTACGAATTTCAGTGTGCAAACCTCATTATATTATTATATCAACTTGGACGCTTTCAGATTTAAGTTCAGACATGTTGTTATGATCACTCGTTATGATAATAATAATAGTAGTAATATTTAAACATTTATACACTTCGTTATAAAAATAATAATAATAATATTTAATATTTATATGACGCAAATTAACATACAGGAGGATATAATCAAATACGCTTTACACGTTAAAATTGAATATGAAATTACTATGTTACCTATTTACAATTTTGAATTTACAATAAAATGCGAAGATGTATACTATATGAAACACTAAAAAGAAATTATAAATTAAACGCTTTCCTAAAATAGTTAGTTTTAAGCAATGTCTTAAAGGTGTTGAAATTCTGTGACTTTAATGATTGCGGGAGACTGTTCCAAATCTTGGCGGATGCATTGGAAAACACTCTATCGCCAAGCGTTTTTTTCGATCGTCGTGAATGATCTTCCAACTGGATATTGGTGCTTGAGCGGAGGTTTTATGTCGAAGTCTTCTTGATGGCGACCATACTTTTTAAATAATTGGGGGCGTGTCCATGAATGCACTTGAAACAGAGCATAGCAATCTTGAAATTGATTCTAAACTTAATCGGCAGCCAGTGAAGACATATAAATGACAATGTGACTTGTTCATATTTTGGCAATGAGCACACCAATCGGACTGCCGCGTATGCACCCATTGGAGCTTGCTAAGGTTCGTACCATACAATAGACTATTGCAATAATCTATTCTCGACATCACTATTGCCTGAACAATCGAATTTCCATCTTCATAGCTAAGAAATATTTTAATGCACCCAATATCATGCAAATGGTAAAGTCCCGATTGACAAGTCTTGTTGATGGCGGTTTTCATGCTCAAATGGTTGTCGAACCACGTCCGTAGGTTCCGAACATTGCATACTGTCGACACTTTCACGTGATCAATACTGAGCTCTGATATGCCTATCTTGTCCAACTGCGGTTCCGATTACAATTGATTCCGTTGATAATGACCTAAAATGCTGTTATTTGTTTGTTTGTTTTTTGCCATTCGTCTCACGTTTTTCAAAAATCAGTTGGACAACTTCTATGTTCGGGTACTCTCTATTCCAATTTTTTAAACCACGTAGATTTTCTATGTACCACGCGCAAAGAACATTGCCTATTGTATGGACTGACAAACAGCCAGCTTGCGAAAATTTGGAGAGTTCCGCATGCTTCCGCTAGGCTGGTATGTAATGCGCCTAGGTTTTGTCACATTACACAAATAATGCGCGATTTGCGCCGATTGCCTATCAGGGCACGCATCAACTCCAAGGTACTTCTCCTCACGTTTAAGGCATTACATGGCCTTGCACCTCAGTGTCTACGGTCCTTAATTAGTATAAAGACATCATGCTATAATCTCAGGGGTTCTAATACTCTACTCCTAGCTATGCCATCAGTGAAATCTAAGGCCACGCTAGATGATCGGGAATTCGCCGTTGCGGCGCCGTCATTATTGTGGAACTCTCTGCCTTGTGAGCTTCGCTCAATCACATGTGTTACTAGTTTTAAAACTCAACTTAAGCCCTATCTTTTTAGTCTTGCATATACTTAATAGAGATTTGATTAGCATATTATTAGCATTTCTCTTTTTATATAATATATACTTTAGTTTCTTCAGTTCTCTTTTATATAATATATACTTTAGTTTCTTCAATTCTCTTTTATATAATATATACTTTAGTTTCTTCAATTCTCTTTTATATAATATATACTTTAGTTTCTTCAATTCTCTTTTATATAATATATACTTTAGTTTCTTCAATTCGCTTTTATATAATATGTACTTTTGTTTCTTCAATTCTCTTTTATATAATATATACTTTAGTTTCTTCAATTCTCTTTTATATAATATATACTTTAGTTTCTTCAAATCTCTTTTATATAATATATACTTTAGTTTCTTCAATTCTCTTTTATATAATATATACTTTAGTTTCTTCAATTCTCTTTTATATAATATATACTTTAGTTTCTTCAATTCTCTTTTATGTAATATATACTTTTGTTTCTTCAATTCTCTTTTATATAATATATACTTTAGTTTCTTCAATTCTCTTTTATATAATATGTACTTTTGTTTCTTCAATTCTCTTTTATATAATATGTACTTTAGTTTCTTCAATTCTCTTTTATATAATACGTACTTTTGTTTCTTCAATTCTCTTTTATATAATATATACTTTAGTTTCTTCAATTCTCTTTTATATAATATATACTTTAGTTTCTTCAATTCTCTTTTATATAATATATACTTTAGTTTCTTCAATTCTCTTTTATATAATATATACTTTAGTTTCTTCAATTCTCTTTTATATAATATATACTTTAGTTTCTTCAATTCTCTTTTATATAATATATACTTTAGTTTCTTCAATTCTCTTTTATATAATATGTACTTTTGTTTCTTCAATTCTCTTTTATATAATATATACTTTAGTTTCTTCAATTCTCTTTTATATAATATATACTTTAGTTTCTTCAATTCTCTTTTATATAATATATACTTTTGTTTCTTCAATTCTCTTTTATATAATATATACTTTAGTTTCTTCAATTCTCTTTTATATAATATATACTTTAGTTTCTTCAATTCTCTTTTATATAATATATACTTTAGTTTCTTCAATTCTCTTTTATGTAATATATACTTTTGTTTCTTCAATTCTCTTTTATATAATATATACTTTAGTTTCTTCAATTCTCTTTTATATAATATGTACTTTTGTTTCTTCAATTCTCTTTTATATAATATGTACTTTAGTTTCTTCAATTCTCTTTTATATAATACGTACTTTTGTTTCTTCAATTCTCTTATATATAATATATACTTTAGTTTCTTCAATTCTCTTTTGTATAATATATACTTTAGTTTCTTCAATTCTCTTTTATATAATATATACTTTAGTTTCTTCAATTCTCTTTTATATAATATATACTTTAGTTTCTTCAATTCTCTTTTATATAATATATACTTTAGTTTCTTCAATTCTCTTTTTATATAATATATACTTTTTCAGTTTCTTCAATTCTCTTTTTTATAATATATATACTTTTGTTTCTTCAATTCTCTTTTATATAATATATACTTTTGTTTCTTCAATTCTCTTTTATATAATATGTACTTTTGTTTCTTCAATTCTCTTTTATATAATATATACTTTAGTTTCTTCAATTCTCTTTTATGTAATATATACTTTAGTTTCTTCAATTCTCTTTTATATAATATATTCTTTAGGAATGTGCATCTGATCATAGTCATGTAAAGATGCGCACTAGAAATGAATAAATTATTATTATTATTATTATTATTATTATTATTATTATTATTATTATTAGAACATGAAGAACTACCAGATTATCCCAAGAACACCACCTTCTCAGAGTACGAAGGCTACAAACATTAAGTACTAGGTCTGAGGAGACCGGCAGCGAAGATGATGAAAATTATACGGTGCTTTACAATGAGAATAGCGGTACAGGCCTAGAAAAAAAGGTAGTCGTGCCTTTGGATTGACGGTTGGTAAAATTTTGAATGGACTAAAATGGTTGGTGGACTAGATAGTTGGCAATCACCAATCACGATCACGAGCTAGTTCGACCGAACTGGTGTACAACGGATCACTTTGGCTAGAACGATAGAATCGAGTGGAGTGCAATTTGGTGTGTAATCATACCAGTAATTACAAAATCGGACGACTGCAAAGTGGGAGTCCGATTTGTCAATCACAAGTATGATTACGCACGACACGAAGTCCTGTTACCATTTAATCATAACCATTACAATTTCTGAAAAAAAAAACAAATCAAAACGAGACAAAACAAAAAAAACAAATACGTTTATTTGAGAAAAGGTTTTCATCATAACCATCCAAAAAATTATTAAAATCCTGAGCAAAAGCGAAATGCAAAGTTTGAAATAGGAAATTCCCTAGTTTTGTATGTAAGTCGTTGTTGATTTGGTCATTTAATCAATTCTGTGATCGGCGGATTTAGTTGAGTAGACTTGATATGATTGGCTGCTTTCACTGTCCGACTACAGGTGTTGGATTACAGCCAACTACCCGATTGCAACTGTACAGAATAATTAATAAAAATTAAGGCAGCGAATGTACCAGTCACATTTGAGGAAACCGTCATGGTTTTGATTACTAACGATGTTGTGCGACTTTCAAAAACGACTTTGAGTGGAACATTGCATGCTGGTGGTGTGGACAAAGGGGTTAAACTGAATGGTTGGCTGAGGTTGCAATGTCTATACTACAAACAAGTCTTCGATGTAGGCGGATTATACACAGAGAAACAAGAAAACATTTCAGTCAGCCATCTTTATTGCTCGCTCGTTCTCAATGCCTTAGGGTTGCGCATACACAGGTGACCCAGTTACAATCACTAAAGAGGTCTCACGGTTAAGTGCTACATGGCTCGCAGAGAAAACATGGACTGAATCTTATTGGTTGGCCTGGAGAACTTAGAAGGGTACGAAGAGGTTGATGGATTGGAATCACTTCCCTGATCCAAGCCAGCAACTATTCCGTTTCTTTAAAAACCATTTAATTTCTGAAAAAGAATGAAAACCTGCGGAACCTGTTTTTAGGTAAGTTTTGGAAATAAATGAGTGCGTCACAATGTTTTAAAATAAACTTGTTCGCGGTGAGTAGAAAACCTGTCGAGAAAATACCCCTGTAGGCCATTTAGCCTCTGGCTTCGCATTACTGTTGTAAAAATACCACGAAAATGATGAACTAAATTGTTAAGTGTTTTTATTGTATTCGAATACTCCCTATAAAAGCATTGGGATTATTCCACTATGTAGAGCGCGTTAGAGGCTGGAATAGTTTAAAACATTCCTGCTTGATTTTTATTCCTCCATTCGAAGAGGCTTGTATGATTGACCAATAAAGATAATCAATTAGTGAAACAACAGTAGTGTCGGACAAAAAACCACACATGGCGATGCTGTTTTTTTTTCCAGTAAATTATAAAATAACTCATGAAATTGGTATTTTGTTATCTTATAAGAGATTACGACAACCAACTATTATTACTGTTTGCGTCTAGTTGACAATGCGTAGGACTTGAATTTAGGTCTGAGCATTTCAACGGCGTCCATAACTTTGCCCCCATTTTTCAGTGAGGTCCCTTTCTACTTTCGCATTCATGAATTCATCATACGCGTGTTTTATAACTTGGACACCAGAGCTTTGAATAGTCCACCCACGACTTCAGAATTTGAGTCACCTTCGACCGAGGATACAGATGCAATAAGCAGTCGAAAATCCACTTCCATTTCCTTGTCGTTAAGCACAGAACTCTGACACATTTCAAGAAATTTGGTCGGGTATCTTTTAAGGTTATCGTCGCTTGGGAAATTGCGTACTCTATTGTCTAAATTCTTAAGAAAAGGGATACGTCCAGTCCTTGAAAAAATAAGATTCCCTTCGTTCAAGTTCTTGAATACCTGGAATACTGGAATGATGACAGTTTTTTCGGTCGGGACTTTGTACGTGTTTCTGGCATGAACGGAACACGTTTTATGAATATTTTAGCGACTCTCGTTTATGTGATTATGGACAAGATATAACTGATTAATGAATAACATAGAGCACGAAAAGAACCTTGTAATCCTCTTTTTAAATTGAAACTTCTGATGAATGAATTACAATTGGCCTGCGAGACCTACTTTGTACCAAATCAAAAATATTTCAATTGATGGAAGAATGGTGGCTTATAATTATTTAAAGGACAAGTTGGAATAAAACAATGTATAAAAGATGAACCCATTAAATGGGGCTTCAAATTATGGATTCTTGTTAGGTCAAATTTAGGGTACACTTATAAATTTCAAGTATATACAGGGAAACGCCTTACACCAACCACTAATAGGTTAGTTGGGATATGATGTAGTAACGAGTCTGATGGATGGACTTTTTACGCAAGGGTTTCATTTATTTTGTAATAATTTCTACAGTAGTCCTAAATTATGTTTGGATTTGTTTTAAAGGGGTTGTTTTCTAACAAGGACAACACATGAAAATAGAATAGACTCCGCCAGCTAAGGCAGAACGTGGAACCTCCAGGTGGTTTCGCGATGGGCAAATTAACAGTTGGTTCATACGTCAGCGCGCGTTCATCGGGATACCAAGCACGCGGGAAGTTTGGAGAGCACGAAAGAAGCTAGAGTTGCTCTCGGCTACGGCTCGAGCAACTATTACGCATCTTTCGTGCTCTCCAAACTTCCCGCATGCTTCATATCTCAATGAGCGCACAGATGACGTATGAACCAATTGTTTTATAATATTTTCAACCCCACAGAAAATTTTTTTCTCGAGGGATTTGTTTGCTGACGTCATAAGTGTGCACAATAGGAATATGAAGCACGCTCGCGCAATTGAATTTGATTAGACAAATTTACCAGCTATGCTATAAAGCCTCTTTAACAAAATAAATGTTTTAACGCATTATTTGGCTCCATGAAAAGCAACCTCTGCCCTTTCCTTAAGGAAAAAAAAAACTTCACTTTAAAGTACTTTCCGCGCGGTGATCTTTCCGATCACGTATTAAAATTTGTCCCGGAGCACGTCAACGAGATCGTCACCGAAACGAGGTTGTAAACTACTTTGCATACAATAAGTTGTTTTCATGAAAAGGTCACCGCAATCTGTACGAGGCCTTTTAGTTGTTATAACAAATATGCATGATTTATTCAGGACTTTTAATGTGCTTTAATTAAGGTAAAAGATGTCTGCAGCGCCCAAACCTAAAGTCCTTTTGCGCGCCAAATCTCTCGTGGAGCCCGATGTACACAATCCGTTCTCTTTCAAGTTACAGCTCACACTCTGCGACAAACTCAAGGTAATTCAGTTTATCAAATTTTTCTTGTTTGAAATGTTAAGAACACACAAGAACTAGAATGGTAACAGTATTGGGTATCAAAGAACGCATTTGTAACGATAAATTTTGTCCACGATCGAATTAAAATTCACAGTGAGTTACTTTTATCTCAGCTGTCCAAACAGTATCAATGTAAACAAACATCCATCCCGCTGGTTCTGAACAATTTGAAAGCATGAATTACGCCTCGTCGTCGCTCCAGCTTTACATGTCACTTGAGCCAAAAAAAAAAAAAGTATCCGTGAAAAAAGTCTCTTCTAATGGGCCCTATAGGGTCTCTTTCATTAGAAAGCTCAGTGTTTTAAGCTCTTAGTATTATACTCCTCATAGGCAAAGCCACTGTGTGAAGAAGAAACATAATTTTAAGCGTGGCTCTTTGAAGAATCCATAGATATTGACAAAAATGTTCACACAATGTTGAGGTATTGTTTGTTTTTTTATGGGGGAGGGGGGGAGTTAGGGGTTCATAGGGAAAATGATATTGGTTGTATAAAACAACTGAATGTCAGGTTCTATGATAGCTTTTTACCTTCATTTTTAATATGTATCGTAACTACTAGTCCACTTCATTCACAAACTACCTTGCCACATCCAGTTGCTTCAGCAGGGTTGTTGACAATGTCTCTCTTCCTGTAGAAGAGGTGAAATCTTACTTCACAGCTCATGCATTTAGATAAAAAAAACTTAACACTCTTTTGTGCAATACATGTAGTTGTTTTGTCTTCAATCATAAGGATAACATTTATAACCATGTTATTTGTATACAATTGTTTTATTTCAGGTTGCAATTCTTAGTGTAACACTGTTTCCAGTCAGGCTCCTGTGCTTGTTTTTTCTCCTCATTGTGGCTAGTGTGATAGGAAAACTGACTACCCTGTGTATGAAGAAAGAAGAAGAACCAGAACCACTGTCAGGATACAGAAGGTGTTATTACCATTATTTTGCTTGAGTTATGTCAGGTCTGTAGTGCAAAAATTAGGAAGATAAAGTCTGTACTTGTGCCATGTTGCTCATCCAGCCAGAGCTTATCCTGGCTTCCATAGCATAAAGACACCAGGAGTATCATTACTCCCACCCTGAATGGGATACCAGTCCTTTGCAAGGTTTCCTTGCAGAATTTCATCAGACATCCCTAGTACATGTACACCCTTATATAATCCTTGGTGTAGAGAGGCATTGTGGAAGGAAAGTGTTTCTTCCATAAACACAACACCATGACTCTGCCAGCTAAGCTAAGGCCACTACCTCTCCCCTGTATCATGCACAGCTCACGTAGATGTACCTACAACTGAATAAAAGGGGTAAGTTTTTAAAGAAACTGTGGTGCTGCATCAGTGGGAGAGTATAATAGGGTAATCAAGTATTATCAATGGAGTTTATAATATAAAGAACATAATAATGCTTATGTTTCGAGCATTGGCCCTTTGTCAATTGCTCTGACGAAGGGCTAACCTCAAAACATCAGTTTTGAAACTCTTAACGGTGGCTACCAGTAATTTATGTTCCTACAACTGAGTTTGAAATGAATATTCCTGGCTGTATACTGTAGTTTTAATTCTTGTGTCAGCAACTGTGACCAAAGCTTTTATTATAATCAGCATGCTGTGTTTTCATGTAGGATCATGAGAAAGCCACTTCGTGGTATTGCACGGGCAATGTTATTCTGCATGGGTTTTCATTGGGTTAAAGTCAAAGGCAAACTGAGCAGTTCAGAGGAAGCTCCAATATTAACTGTGGCTCCACATTCATCATTTATTGATGCCTTGGCATTGAGTGTTATTTGCTTACCTTCAGGAGTTTCCAGGAAGGAAAATGATTCAATACCTCTTGTAGGGGGTTAGTGTGAATTCAATTTCATAACATTCTAAGTTAACCCTTTAACCCCTAAAAGTGACCAAAATCTTATCTCTCACTACAATATCACCCCTGAATCACACATGAAGGTCATGAGAATAAAGGAAATGATCTAGAGGGGCTCTGAATTTTTTTAAAAAATTCTCCTTGTCAGTACAATAGAAAATGTGCAGAGAACAATATGGAGAATATGCACCTTGAATGATGTTCAAGTAAAAAGGGTGTTTTGCAAAGTTGGTGGATGGAACATGTGGGACATTCAGCACAATTTTATGTATGAGTCAGTTTCTTTATCTGTACTAATCAGAGAGAAGTTTTTCTGTATCACTCTGGTACAAAAGTACAGTATATATTTATGTCATTATAGTAACATGAGAAAATAACATCATTTTATCAAAAATGTTTTTCATTTGAGAAGATACAAATTAATAAGATTTCACTCAACACCTGGCTTTTCTGTTTGGTTGTTTGAATGCCTACTATTTATCAGGGGGCTCATTATTCTTCTAAAGAAGATCAGACAATTTCTGGTTTCTTACCAGAATCCTCCAACTAAATTTTGATGACCAGAGCTATTTGACAGATTTAGATGGAAATAACCAATTTGATTATTTTCCTGCTTCGACATTTCTGGATGAAAAATCTTTTTAAAATTCTTATTTTTACCTCATAGAAACCTTTTAATTGACAGTTGAGATCAATCCAAACCAACAAGTAATCAAACTAACTTCTAGTTTGTCTTAACTTGTTACAGGATGCATACGTGCATTACAACCTGTGTATGTATCAAGAACAGATCCAGATTCCCGAAAGAAGACAATCTCTGAAATCAAAAGAAGAGCCAGTTCTGGTGGAAAATGGCCTCATGTGGTGATATTTCCAGAAGGTAGGTAGTGTATTTTATTCAAAAGTGGATCATTGGATGATGCAATTCAAGAGTTTTCATTGCCATCATGGGCTATGAGCCATTATACCATGCACACACATGAAGACAAGTGAAACTGGAAGTGTTTTTTACATTGTAACATTCTCTTTGTTCTTACAAAATAAAGTTGGGAAGAGTATATTTTGGGTGTTTTTGATGACACAAAAATTCCACTCATGCTTGTTGGATATGAGATGATTATAAACAACTTGGCCCTACAGGCCTCGTTGGCTATCTATCATCTCATATCCAAATTGCCCACTTGTGGAATGATCATTGTTTAATATCCATGACTATGTACTAGTTGAATTATTTTTCTTAGTTTCAAATTTTTCAGACCAGTTCAATTGTTTATTATTGAATTTCATTCTGTATTCTTTATGATTAATCTGACTCAAGCTAAGAAAAATCAAACTGGTTTGGAAAGTTCTAAACAGAGAGTATCAACCCCAAGTAACTGTCCAATGCAATACTTTGCATGTCTTCTTGTAGGAACCTGTACTAATAGGAAATGCCTGATCACTTTTAAACCAGGTTGGTAACAAATATTTTAAATCTTATTTGCTTTTAACTCTTTATCGACCACCATTTGTTACCAACACAGAATTTCTCCTGAAAATACCAAGCAGACAGGTGATGATAATATTTAATAAAATATCAATTAGGGTATTATTAATTGATCCAATACAAAATTCTTCAAACTAACCTTATGAGAATTGTATAAAAGACAGTAATAAGAATTACTTATTAATAAGATCTTGGGAGTGAAGGGGTTAACCCTTCAACTTCTGTGAGTGACCAAGACAGTATTTCTCCTTACTATATCTTAATACAATATCATGCAGACAAGTGATGAGAATTAAGAAAAATATCAATTATGGAATTGCTAATTTATCTGATACCAAATTCCCCACACTAACATATTGAGAATCATTTGGCAGACAGTAAGGAGAATTACTAATGAGATCTTGGGAGTGAAAGTGGTTTTCTTTAGAAAGAGCTCATGATCTGGCATTTAAGAAGCTTTTCTTTGGCATTGAGGGATGATGAATTTGAGCTGTTAAGGGGACTGCATATAACTTTGAAATGTCATCTATTTTATGACAGATGTTCATTTTCTTTCTCTGTGTTTGTAGGAGCATTTTATACAGGTGTCCCAGTTCAAGCTGTGGCATTAAAATATCCCAACAGACTGGTTAGTGTCAGGCACAGCTTACTGACCAATCAGTTAAAATATTGATGTGCTATAATACTAGAGAAATAATTATGATCACAGAGTGACAAAAAGTTTTAAGAAGAAAATCCTTTCCTAAAATCCATAAAGAAAAATAATAGATTTACATCATTTTCAATGATTTCTCATAATTTCAGAAAATTATGTAATACCTCAGTGTGTTATGAAATTACCACACTCTCCAATTGTTGTTTTTGTATTTTTTTACCTAAGTTTTACAAATTATCAAAAAGAAGTATTCTAAAGAAAGATGTGTGTGACAAAGAAAAAATTCTGAGTCCCCACAAGGAATCAAAACTCAGACTTTCAAATTCTGTGCTCCGATGCCCTACCACTGAGCCACAGAGTCTATGGTGAGTGAGGTCCATTACAAAGTTCATATATGACATACGTTTTTCTTTGTCTCACGCTTGTGACTAGACATAAAACATCTTTATTTCTTAACCAAGATCAAAACTTACCATCTCTCTTATTTTATTTATTAAGAACTATTCTGTTTTTGATTAACAGGACACTGTGACATGGACATGGTCTGGCCCAAGTGGGTAAGTAAGTTTGACTTGTTTTAACTCTTAAACCCTCAAGATCTGATTGATAATTCTCCCCTTTAGCTGCTACACATTTCCTTGTAAATTTGTTACGAGAATTTAGTGTTTGGTCAAGATAACATTTTTTACCCGATAAGTTTAAATACATACTGTCACCACCTTTTTGTTGGATAACGTTTGGATATTGTAGGGAGAAATTACATGTTAATCACCCTTGGGAGCTAAAGGGTTAAGTATATTGAACTATAAGCCATGCAGTGAGTTCTTAGAAAGACAATGTTTAAATGGTTTTGTTGAACTGTGATTTTCTGACTGACAAGCTGTTGTTAGTAATGTACTGCATCTGTGGCTTTGAATTGAATGCATGATACTACCAAATTGAAGACATCCTTTGAGATATAAATTCTGAAATTGCTGACAGAAGTAATTTGGTTTGCACAGGCCTGAATAAGTCCCTGATGAATCTGCCATTGATCATTATTATATCTTAAATTATTCTGTAGTGTACCTAGAGATTGAAATATTATCAGTTTTTAAACTTGTAATTCTTTTTATTTAGTAGACCTAATTTATAATAGATTGTTCTAAGATAACTAATTTCTATCTAGTTTTATTAATACCCTGTACTTGATTCTTTAACAAATAAATGATTAAAATTGTTACCTTTTAGACTAACTCTTCTTTGGTTAACACTGTGCCAGTTTCATAATTACTTGGAAATTGAGGTAAAAAAAGTGATCATGAAATCTTTCATTTGATGTGATGATATCAAGAGAGGATAGAGTATATCCTCATTTTGAATATATCTATTTTAATTGACAAGTGATCAACTGCTTTTCTTAGCTTGTTTGTAAAGTTTTGGGTTTCACCATTTGCTTCTGATTGGAATGTCTTAAATTTTCTTTTCCATGCTAGATTCTGCCAGTTTACAAGCCTGATACAGAAGTAAGTGACATTTTCTATTTTTGTTTTGCACTTATAACAACTACATGTATATTTTAACTGAACTAGCAGTAAGCTTTAAGTAACAAGTTGTAGACTGTTTTCTGAGTATTCAAAATATATTAGTTTCCTATTGAAGTGGCATAGTTTTTAAGTTTAATTTGCTGGTTTTTTAGATAAACACAAAAAGACAACCCTCCAACTTGGAGGAGATGCAGAGGCTAAAAGTTTTTCTTTCTTTTAGGAAATCCATGATGGAAAACTTTATGCAAGGAATGTTCGGGAACAAGTAGCAAGGTGCCACCAATATTTAGTTTGTCTTTTGATCCAATTTGTAGCACTGTTTCCAGTTTAAGACCCTTTTTGTTTCCTAAAAGATCACATATTTCCATACTTCTGATCACACTTTTGAGAGGGGTGATTAGAGGCGTGTTTTAAAGTTGGAATCACACTTGTGACCACATATTCTTTTTCATTTTTTTTAGCATGGAAATTACAATAACTTGGTTTTTCCCTTTTCCTTTTCTTTATAGAGTATACCATTATTAGCTTACCTGCATAACATGTGCTCTGAGAGAACTAATTAAAAGATTTGTTCTGTGGTCACTGATACATCAATCATTAGTGTGAATTTGAAGTACGTAGTTTCTCCCTCTTGCAGATTTCTTAATGTTCCTGTCACTGAACACACCTATGAAGACACAAGACTAATGGTACAGGCCTCCCAGCAGAACCAACCATCCATGACAGGCTTGGTAGAATATCAGAAGATAAGCAGCAAACTCAGGTCGGTGGATGTTCTCATCCTTTTCATCCTTTCCTTTTGAATTGCATCTCACACATAAGGCACCACCTATTGAATAGAATTTAGGAATGAAAAGAGGCCCGAATAGTAGCTATAGTAAATACTTACAGATCTAACTACGAACGCTCACAACAAATTTTGCTTTACAAGCCTGCCTTGTACGTTCTTTGTCAAATGTGTGGGAAATCTTTCCTTAGCTACATACGAGTTTAAAATCAGATTGCTGATCGAAGTCGAGGATGACTTAGGACCTATCACTTTTGCTTATTTTTCTAACAGCATGAAGATGGATACCATGAAGGAGCTGTTGGATAAATTTGCTGAAATAGACGCTAATAGGGACGGTTTGGTTGATATAAACGAGTTTGCCAAATATCTTAGCCTGCCTGTCACTAGTCATGTGAAACATCTCTTCACACTCTATGACAGGGTGAGTCTTCAATGAACTTTTAAGCGATGATACGACATTAGGCTCCTTACAAGAAATGGCGGCTGTTATTTTTCATGCGTGCGGCCTCAGGTCAGGTACGCATGTGTCTATATCAGTGTTGGGAATCGGGTGCTTGTTTTTGTTTGCGTTCGGTTACGTGTGCGTACAGAGGAGTGTATTCGCGCGTGGGTCGGCGTTTTTGCTGGTACCACTTCATGAGGGTAAGGAGTGTCGTGCACGAGCGTGATGTGGAAGAACAGGTGTACATTTTTTGCTATGCTTTATGCTGGTTTCTTTTTAAGGAACGAAAATTCGTATGCTCCACGCGGATTTGATACCACCAACGCTTTCTTGATCTCAAAACAACACAGACGCTGCGATTAAATATTTGCCGTTAAATGAAAAGAAATTATATTTTTTAAATGACGATTGTTGTTTTCCTGTAAGGATGATTCAGGTTTCATAAACTTTCGAGAATATCTCATTGGCTTGGCTCTTGTGTCGCAACCAGCAAACAGTGAAGAGGCTATGAAGCTAGCTTTTCAGGTTAGTGTCAAAGAACCAAAGAACCAACCTTTCGAATAAACAGTATGTCAAATATATTTTTGTCTCCTTCCCTTTGATTTTAGCTCTTCTAGCGAAGACAGTTTTATTGAAAACATCTGGAGCTAACGCTAGTTGGTAGGCAGTCAGTTGATCATAGAACAGCTCTTAATTAACTATTCTTTTTGCAAAACCAAAGTTATCACAACAGCCAATCATAACAAAGTTTTGCGTCATCAAGAGCCAACGAGGACTCTAAGTGAAAATTGGCAAACTACCAAAAGCGCAGGAAAACGCGGGCGACCAAGTCACGATTGGTTTTCGTTTGGCGTCTGATTGGTTTAGAGCATGGCATGATTTTTCTGGACCAATCACAGACCGAAGTAAAGCAATCACGGATTACTTTCGACGCTTAATTGAATGTCAATCCATCATTTCATTCCCTTAAGGTTTTTGATATGAACGGTGATGGGCGAGTGGATGAAGCAGAACTACGTCATATTCTTCAGAGTGCCTACCCTTCCATCACAGACCTGAACATAAACTGTTTGTTTAATCAGGTGGATGTGAACCACAGTGGATCCGTCACGTTTGGTAGGTAAACTGATGTTTCTTCTTACTTCAATCTTCAGTTCAAAGAGTGTCCTTGATAGCTAGCAAATTCGCCAGCGATACTGACGCGCGTGTTAGTAGCGAAGTGATCCTCATAGGGGAAGTATATATAATTGAAGAAATTGCAGTAAAACAAATCTGAAAAAAAAAAGGTAGGCTTTGACTGTATTCGGACTAGGCCTCCACATAGGGAGGTGGGGTTAGGTAAATTTTAATGGGCTCTTTAGTGTTTCTCCAGAGGATGTAATGAGAACAAAACATAAAAGTTACAAGAAAAATTTTGTAAACGTACTTACACGACATATTTATTTTTACTCGTTAACAGAGGAATTTCGGGATTTCGCCTTATTGCACCCAGAGTATGCCTTTCTCTTTACCCACTACACGAAGGAACAAACAGAGACAACGGGAGAGAGCAGTCACTCAAATCATGAACATCCACAAACAGCAGCCAAGGCTTGACGAACGCACATTAGGAGATAAAAATCCATTGCGTCTCTTGCCAAGATAGTAAAATACAGCCTTAATTATCTCTTCATGGGGTTCCACATGTTAGGGACTGGGTTTTTACTGCTTTTGTATGACTTTAATATTATTCAACGATTGCTAAAGGGTATTAGCGGTTTCTTAGTAGGCCATTTCCGAATTAAGGTGCTGAACCACTCGTATGAAAAATGAATTTAATTTGCATGTGAATGGAAACGTATAATCATATGAAAGGATGAGCACCAGGACTCGCTTTGAAAAAGAAGCCAAAGGGTTCGGAAATGTGCTATTTATTTGGTCGGTAGGTTTTGCTGTATTGAATTGCCTCGGTTTTATGGAATAAGCAATTTTCCATTACTGAAGACTTAGAAATGTTAAGATTAATCCAATAATTTTATTTAAAGAATTGCCATTAGTTCTTAATATTTAGGTTTACTCCTTACGTTTTAACGCTGTCTAAGGCAATTTTCAGTTTAGTATCAAAAGTGAACCTGGATTGCTTCGGTTTTGCTTCACTTAGCCCTTCGATTGGTATAGAAAACTCGCGCCACCATTCCAAGCTATCAAATGCGAAACTAAAACCAATCCCAATTTGGTCACTCGCATTTTCCCGCGCAGGTCGCGTGGTTTTTTTTTAGTTCTCATTGGTTAATGATGATGTCAACCTTTGTTCTGATTGGTAGTTGTGATTGGTTTGGTTTTGGTTTTGTAACACTCAACTGAAAACTGCTCGTATAGATAAAAGTTGTCAAGTGACTCATTAAGCATCGATCGTTTTCAAAGCGAAGAGAGTTTTAATTTTACCGCCAGCAGTAGCTCATATTCGTCTGTATAAAGGGTTTTTAGGGGGTAAGATTTATTTTTTTTTAAGATAGGAGACGTTTCTTTGTCTCATACTCTTGACAAAACGTATACATATCAATGCAGCTTATTTGACGACCGGGTTCAAATTAACTATCTCTTAATTTATTCACTTTATGGCTTATTTATATATTTATGAAACCGCTTATATTCAACTTTGCACAGACGTTGATTTTTTCACATCTACACTACAGTGCTGTTCGCAATTTGGTTTTAAATCTGTTTTGCACCGTGATATATACTGATGTCTAACTGAAGATAAAATTAATGACACATGCCAAAATTACTGAGAGGACCTCTGTTAAATTGCAAGAAGTTTTCTTGGGGCGTGACTAACTTAAAAGTGTTTACGTCCGTGATCATAGAAACTATCATTGAGAAAAGCCAGTTCATTAAAGTTATGATCGTGAAAATTGCAATTTCCTCGATTGTTACAGGGCTAAAAGTTAACTCCAGTGCTTGGTGGCCAGTCGGGCCAGTTTCCTTGAATTCTTAGTGGCCCATCCTAAAATGAAGTAGCCCTCGATTTCCTCTAGTTTAAAATGAAAAACTTGAATAAACGCCCCAATGACTTTTCGTGGCATAGAAACGAAGAGAAAGTTAGTCCAATTAAACTACATATTGAGCTTTATTTTTAACTTTATATTTCGCATAATTTACATTGCAACTTTTCGAAATTCTGTGGCATAGTCGCACATCGGGCGTTCAAAACTTAACTTTTGGTGGCCCTGGTCAGTTTTAACTCGCCACTGGCAACCGTGCGACCCCCAATTTTTAGCCCTATTGTGATTGGTTTAAGAAACTCCTATTTTCCACTAATTCACTTGCCAAGTTGTTATCTGACAGTTTGTTCGCGGAAAGTTCGATGAGCCAATCACATCCAAAGCTGTAGTTTGAATCAACCAATTAAAGAATTTACGCCTCCTTTGTCAGTTTTTTAATGTAAATTTTCCCTTTCTTTTATAACTTGGCTATTCCACTTTTCTCGGCAATTGTAATTTTTATTATTAATTGGTAGTAAGACTTCGTGCCGTCCAATTCGGTCTGTAATCATACTCGAAATAAACGCTGTCGTCCGATTTTGTTGATGGTATGATTACCGATCGAATTGGACTCCACTTAGTCCTATTAACATAGCCTAGGTGTAGCCGTACCCTCCCGCGCAAGGTGAAATAGAACCGAGGGAACGTCTACGTTCCCTCGCTTCCGTTTCACCCTGAGGGGGGAGGGTATGGCTACTGGTAAGCTATATTACCATTACTTAACAACCAGGACAGGACATGCTAATTAATTCGGGACGCTTACAATTAACGACACTGGTGGAATTGGATTCAGTTAATAACTTCTGGGTATTACACAATGGTATTTTATCGGAAGCCTAAAGCAGACTAGTAATTGGTAATTGCATGCTATCATCATGCCGCGATGATTATTTTCCTTTTTTTCTCTTGGTTTCATTTTTTTGTTCGAACTTTTTCCTTCTCTTCATCTAATTAGCACTCTCCCTTCGCATTCTTTTTTTATCTATGCGCGGCGCGCGTGATTACACAAATTAGCCAATCATGTCAAAGAATTCTAACCTTGACATTGGAAAACAGACGAGGGTGTTTTTCATGTACCTTTTTAGCCACACACGTCAAAGAATTCTAACCTTAACATTGGTAAACGGAGGAGGACTTTTCTCCCGTACATTGTTTTTTTAACGGAGTTTTGATAGTTGTTCTTGAGCTTTCGTTAGCGCATATTTGCTACCCCTATGTTTGGGATTTTAAGAAGTTTCGGAGATTTTTGGTCTGGCCAAATGTGGTTCATTTAACAAGTTAAATACATAGTTTCTTCGGAATGTCGACTCTGGCCTCTGTTTTCGTTAATGGATTTTTGATAGGTGTCAAGAGAAATGTATTTATTCAGTTCTCCGTGAATCGTCATTAGTTAACATCAATTTTTACGGAGATTAATTTAAAGGTACAACGAAGTGAGTCTCTTACAAATACCAGTGGTAACACATTTGTTTTTTCTCTCAGGGTAATTTAGTTTCATTAACTCAATTAATAATACCAAATTACCTTGTTACACTCTCATACCGACGCAGCACCACAGTTTCTTTAGAAACTAACACCTTTGTCTTCTAGACTCTTTTTTCAGATTTTCAGACAGTTAGTTGAAAAAAATATGAAAGCGAAGTGAGTTAGCAAATCTGAGAAATATCGGCGTAATTTAGGTTTTCAAACATAGGCTAGCTGTCGGAGCAAACGAGGAAGGGCTTACACGCGAAACTTCAGCTGTAAGAACTCTTAAGGCGGCCAATTTGAATTATCAATTTAATTGATAAAATCAACTTATCTTCATTTCAGTCGTCAAACTCACCACAAAAATCAGTAATGTAATTATCAGTCAAAGTTCAAGAGTGCAATCACGATTATTCAAACAACCCAACTGCTCTTTCGCTCCGCGCTTCTCTCAAAAAGCAATAATAGGAAGAAAAATTGACAGGCTGAAAAAGTTAAGACCACAAATAAAATTGACAGAAAAAGAAACTTCTTTTCATGTTGCACTCCCGGCCTTAACTTTTCTGTTCATTCTGTATCTGGGAACTTTTTAGCGGCAACATGGTAGTATACATTGGTTGGAAGACGCCCTCCCACAACTGAAGCGCCATTTCTTCATCAATGGTTCGCCATGGCACTTCGGACTCGAACTTTCTGAATCCAGGAGGCGGGTTTGCATGTAGTTGTTGAAGCCGACTATTTTTTGTCATCGCTCCTTCGTGATAACTTTGGACATTGCATTCATCAACTACGCCTTTGCGACGTAAAGACGCCGTTTGCTTCTTGCTCCTTTTTAGAGGGGGTTCTGCTTTCGTAGCCGCAAATTGAACGCTTCTCCTTGGCCCATCACCTTTGTTATTTTTTTCTTTTACTTTCCTGCTCATTTTAGATGAATTTGTCCCCATTCTTTACGATAGTAATAAAGATATCCCGATTCTGTGTCAATGGGTAATTTCACAAATTTACAGTCAAACTTTCCGCAAGACTCAGTATTTCACTCTTTGGTGGCCAAAGATAATGGAAAAGCGAGCTTTAAATTTTATTTACTGCAATTATCAGTGGGATAACGCTAATTAGTAAAAGTTAATCCTTTTAAATATGAGTCCAACCTTTTTTGGTCAACGAATTACGTCAAGGCACTCATTTGGGTTCCTCGTGTACACTTCTAGATCAAACAGTGTCAAAGCCTCTGAGGCCAGTCGATGAATAACAGAAAAACGAGCGCTAGTTTTGGACTATCTTTTTTCAGAATCAAGGCAGTTAGGGTGTGCGACTACCAGAATGCGCAGACGCGTGAATTAAGGCTAAGATGTATCTGTATGTTCGTCGTAAGTTTTTCGGGATGTCCGTCGGTGTGTCACTGACACCGATTGTTTGTTCTCTTTTGATCAAATGAACTTTTTATTGAGGAGAACATGGAAAAATCTAAAATAAACTTATTTTACCTTTTATCGTAATGACAACCACGTGTCACCGATCGTAAAACTGAATCGAGCAACGTTTCATACCGGTGAACCATTCGAATGAGTTCTCCTTGGGGAAGTCCACTGAAGGGGAGGAGAGTATTATTGGATATGGGGCTTACTGAAAATCCTCGGAAAAACACGGGATCATGTATACTTAGGCATCTGTCGGTCGCGTATCGATCGATATTATCGGTCGACGTGTCGACCGAGTGTCCATCGACCAGTCGGCTGATACTCGACCAGCTTATCACCCAAGTATCGGTCGACATGTCAAACGAAATCGGTTGCGACACGCAGACGGCTACCATTCCAAAACAGCACATACCACCGACAGTCTACCGATCCACCACCGACACTCAATACACTGCCGACTGTTGATCGCAATGTAACGGTCGAGGTGTCGGCCAAGTGTCGACCAACATACCGAACAGGTATCGACCGATAGTGGCGACCGAAGGTCAACCGACATGAATAGCATGGCGACCGGCAGTCGGCCGACTATCGATCGACTTGTCAACCGAGAATCGACCGAATGTCGGTCGACATGTCGACCGACAGTATCGGTCACTACTCGGCCGACAGATGCTTTAAGTACCCATGATCTAAAACACGAAGTTTGTTTGTCGCTCAGCTTTCATGAATCAGTATGTACATGCACTTTACTTTGATGAGAGAACATACATCTTTCTCTAATGCTGTTATTAACGTTTTAGACAACACATGCTAGTTAGGGGGTCAACGTTGAATTTGTCCCGCATTGGGGTCCACATTGGGGTCAAGCAGAACTTAAAAATGTATCAGAATTAAACTGGTTGGAAAAGGCTTAATCTTGCTACTCCGCAAAAAAGACTTACATCTCGATCGACAACAGTGTTTTCTTTTTGGTTTAATTTCTGTTTTTGAGGAGTAGGGTTGGGGGCTGGTTGAAAGTCTATCCTTAACAACAATAGCTGAAACAACAAAAGTGAGTGAAGTGAGACAACTGTTCAAATATAATTTGTTCCTGACCATTATGAGGCGAACTTCTTTAATTTTGTAAGTATTAAGTAAGTGTACCATTGGGAGATATGAATAAATTTTTCATTCTAGATAATATTATCAAGGTAGAGAAAAAAAAACAAACAGCCACGTGGGAAATTGCATTGCCGCTGATGGTCAAAAGGAACCCCAGAGTCGAATCTTTTGAACTTTCATTGACATTATGTTAATGACTTTTCAACGATGAACAGCTCTGTTTTAAGTCCGACAGCAGACTCACTTAAAGGAGACTCGAATGTTTTCTTCACAGCCTTTGGAGTGCTTGTAGTCACCCTCACCATGACGGTAACACTTCTCGGCGACTGTTTGATTTACGCCGCATTCAACAGCAACGCGAGTCTTCGCACAAGGGCGAACTTGTTTTTCATTTCGTTAATAACAGCAGATATCTTTCAAGCGCTGTTGGTTATGCCTTTAGAATTGGTTCGTATCGTGAGTGAACCTCAATGGCCCATCAGTGACACGATGACAAAGTTATGGAACTCCATGTTCGTTTGTTTTGGCACGGCGTCAGTCTGCAATTTAGCAGCTATTAGCGTGGAACGATACGTAACAATTTCACGGCCCTTGACACACCATGCAACTATTATCACGAAGGAAACATTTGCAGCAGTTTTACTTATTTGGGTTTACGCTCTAATAAGTAGCATTCTTAGCTTTTTTGCTTGGAAAACGCCAAACGCTCTAAATCCTGGATTTACCATTTCACTGAGCCACGCTATTCCGCTGTTGTTGCTCGACATTTTGATGCCGTTTATTGTGTGCCTTGTTTCATACGCCCTAATTTATCGAATCTCTCGGCAACATTCGTGTAGAATTGCTCTTTTATGTGGCTGGACTCCGTTAGACGACCACAAGATACAAATTGTTAAGGAACGAAAATGCGCCAAAACGCTAAGTCTTCTTGTAGGAATATTTACGATATGTTCATTACCGTTTTTTGTTTTTCACGTCGTAAACGTTTCCCGTTACAACGAAAAGCTTCCCTGTCGCCGATATGCGAGCCAGATTGTCAAATGGCTTTGCTATATCAACTGCGCGTGTAACTGGGCGCTTTATGGATTCCTAAACCAAGAGTTTAGAGAAGTTTTGTTTGTTATGTTTAAGAAATGCCACCTACGTATCATGTCACTTCTGCAGTCAAATCGCGTAGTGCCTCTTCCGTGAGAAACTGGTCAGAGATGAGAGAGAAGACTAAAAAAATATATATAAACATTTATCAATTGAAAAAAAAATAAACAGAACCATAAGTTGCCTCCTCAAAATTTCGTATGCCACTCCTTTAGCTTAGAAATCATGAGTAAAACCGGCCGGGATTCCTTCTAAATATTGAATCGACATGTTTCACAAATTCACTTGAAGAAAAAATAATTAACAATTGGTTCATACGTCAGCGTGCGTTCATCGAGATATGAAGCACGCGGAAAGTTTGGAGAGCACTCAGGAAGCTAGAGTTGCTCTCGGCTACGCCTCGAGCAACTCTTACGCATCTTTCGTGTTCTCCAAACTTCCCGCGTGCTTCATATCTCGATGAACGCACAGCTGACGTATGAACCAATTTTTTTATAACATTTTCAACCCGATGGAAATTCTTTTTTTGAAGGGATTTGTTTGCTGACGTCATGAGCGTGCACAATAGGAATATGAAGCACGCTCGCGCAATTGAATTTGATTAGACAAATTTACTAGCTATGTTATAATAACAGTTGACTTATTATTAACTATCTAATTTTCGCGAGAGAGGGGTCAGAGCCAATGTTTTCTTGTTGCATGATAGACAAACGCTAGATCCATTCTCCTTTCAAGCAGAAGAACTCCTATAGTGTTTTCACCGTGCACTTTGATTTTTGGAGGAAATAGCGCCCACATTAAAGTGTGAACGCCCCGGCTGTGAACAGTTTCGGAAGTTGTCCTGTGACTTCTCTGTTCTAAGATAGAACAAAGAAAATCGAAAACTCTATGAGAGGGCAAAACTTCGCATAACTTCGATCTTCAATCACAAGAAAACTATGAGAAACCATGAAAAAAAGAATTGAACCACCACACTCATCAACGATCTGTCTGTCATAATAAAAAAAAATATGTATTTCAAAAACATAACACTTAACGTATCAACGGTTGAGAATATATGAAAGTCATATATTTGAACTGCGGATAAAGACGTGAATGAAAGTGATCCTCGCAGTAATGCCTAATTAGTGCACATTACTGCGAGGATCACTTTCATTCACGTCTTTATCCGCAGTTCAAATATATGACTTTCATATATTCTCAACCGTTTATTTCATCACTTCACGGGTTTATTTAGAACCAACATCACGACCAGCTCCCAGTTGGCTTGTTAGCTCAGTTGGTCAGTGATCCTCGCAGTAATGCCTAATTAGTGCACATTACTGCGAGGATCACTTTCATTCACGTCTTTATCCGCAGTTCAAATATATGACTTTCATATATTCTCAACCGTTTATTTCATCACTTCACGGGTTTATTTAGAACCAACATCACGACCAGCTCCCAGTTGGCTTGTTAGCTCAGTTGGTAAAGCGCTGCACCGGTATCGCAGAGGTCATGGGTTCAAATCCCGTAAAGGCCTGAATTTTTTTCAGGCCTTATTTTCACTACTGCCTAAGTAGTGCACATTACTGCGAGGATCACTTTCATTCACTTAACGTATCGCAAAGAATTCAAAGTAGAGTTAACATTGAATTGAAGTAAGAGAGGTTGTTTTCATTCGGCGATGAGAACGTTTAAAAATGGCCATGGCCATACCAGTAAAGATAATCCTGATAAAAAATTGAACGAGGTGAACTTCTTTTAAGCTAGCGGGAAAAGTATTCCGTGCCATCTTAAAATGCACTCACTTCCGGTATACTGCGTAAGCTTATTTGAGGCCCAGGACCTCTCGTCGTCGAAATGTTAACAAGTACGCCTGCCTCTAAATTTCCTTCAGGGCCTCAGATGCGCGATGAAAGCGTTTCCGGCATTAGTCACCGAGAAAGAAACACTCAATTTAAATCCGTAACATTGTGCTAGAAGATCTTGTCAATTTTGCGAGCATTTTGAATCGTTGATCAAGCGAAAAAGGCTGCTCAAGCAGGGGAAAAATACTCTAGTGTAAAGGTGTCATGCTCCAAGGGTACTTTTTCAAACGTCGCATTATACTTGGATGAGTTTTCATAGATTTCTCTGCACACAACACGATGGTATCACGCACGCAATGTGGAATACCTCTTTCTTTTGCAGGAGGTTTAAACGTAAGTCTTTCAGAAGACATGGAAGATGTTGTCTATCGCGAGATGCAGTCAGGGAGGGAGGCCATCCCTGGTTTGGAGCGGAAGTTTAGTATGGTCATGAAGGATTTGTTTGAAACGGAGCTTCTGTCTATTTTTTATCTACAAGATCCATATGCTATATTTTCTGGAAAGCTCAAAGCGAATTTGGTCGGAAGTGTCAGCGAAGGATTTGGTATTCCTGAATATATTCACTGGGAAGAAGACAGTTCCTCCAGAGTTGCTGTTCGTGATGAGGCAGATTTTAACCTTGTCTGGAGTTGGCTTAAACTTGGAGAGGATTATCCAAGTTGCAACTCAAAAACTCAACTGGACGGTGTGGTCGAATTCAGCTCTTATTTCCCAGGTTATGCCATGGTCAAGTTGGTGGCTAATGAAGCAATAACCCGCTGGATAGATCTTTCCAACACTGCCGTTAACGGTGATGGAAGCAAAGTCGAAGTCTACCTACATCCATCTGCTGTCACTGATGAATTTTACATGTCTTTGCATCTGAGAAGTGTACTTAGTAACTTGATCGTGAACAGCATTGGAGAAAGTAATGACAAAAATGCAAACTGTTTCAAATCTGATGGCAACTTTGACAGAGAGGGAGGTGAAGAAAGCTCTAATTGTGACCAAACAAAATTTAAGTTACCGGTAGAACTTTCCTCACATAAATTCAGCAAGTCTGCTTACAAATCTGGAAGGAACCAGATTTTGTTTTTAGTTGATGAAGGAGGACCAGCTGTAAATGTTACTGTCTTTTCAAGAGAAGGTGGAGGTACTATGCTGGATATGGCATTATGCCTATCACTTCCTTCTTGGCCAACAGTGGCCAGTGAGTGGATATCAAGGCACAGACGAAGTGGTTGGCCAAGCCAGGAATTGGTATCTGAAATAGTAAATGAAGGATGCTCACTGGTCCCTGTTAGTCCATTGAGAAGTCAGACTGGCTTGGAATGGCGCACATCCTTTAGCTTGGCAGAAAAGAAGCTTGCACAATCATTGAATGAATGCCAGAAGGCCTGCTATTTGATTGTAAAAGGAATCTGGAGGCATTATCTTAAACATCCAAGTAAAAGAGGATTGCAGTCTTATCATCTCAAAACAACATTGTTTTGGGTGTGTGAAGAAGTGCCTACAAATGAGTGGAGAAGAGAAAAAATTGGTATCGGAGTACTGCAAATATTACAGAAACTGTACTACTTTCTTGTTAACATGTTGTGTCCACAATATTTTATTCCAGAAAATAATCTTTTTCAAGACATCGAGGGAGATGTGCTGATGTCCACCCTTCAAAGAATCTCTATAGCCATTTTGTCAAGGCAGCAAGTTTGGTATGACAATCCTGGACTTTTGACCATGTTGCCACCAGAAAACTCTAGGATGCACCTGACCAAACTCGAAGACCAGGCCTTCCGAGAGGCCATTGAAAATGTTTATAGCTTTTGCTTCACTTTTGCACTGCATGAAGATGAAGAACAAGCTGAAGATTTTGAAAAAATGCTGGCTCTCCGTGTGAAGGAAGCCTTAGAGAAATGCCTTCAACCTCAGGGGTTTTGGCACCATTTGATTGCAGTCTTTTTTGCCATTTTTGAGAAGGCTGTCTTTCAACAATACTGGGATTCCTGTGCTGCTATGAGGAGATACATTGGTGGAAGGATTCCCCCTCGATTGATTGCTCTAAAGAAACCAATTCCTTTGGATCTGATCATCAAACTTTGTGCGTGGCTGGATATGTTCAAGTTTAGTTTCAAGTTATTTGTTAAGTTTGTCAATGAAGAAGGAATGAAAGATCTGACGAATTTTGAAAACAATGAAGACCAAGAGTCATCAAAGGAGGACAGTGATTCCGAAGGTACGGGCATCATGGGAGACTTTTCACATCACATCCTTTCAAATCTAACCCAGGCATTTATGGAAACTGGCAAGTTTGACATTGAAATGACTTCTGATGATGAAAGTGAAGAAAGTGAAGTTGATGAGGAAAACAAGGACTGAAAAGAACACTACTTACGAACAATTTTAGATTCCTAACCTTATTCTCCCTAAAATTGTTTTTCTTGAAGAAAGTGGCTGGAGTTGTCTTGTGACTCAAATAAAGTCAGGCAGATTTCAGATTTGATGGCTAGTGAATCCTGAAAACCTATGACATGTGATCTTTCACCAAATTTTTTTGTTGGTTATTGTGTGGTGTGACAATCATTACCTTACTGCTGATTGTGTGGAACATCCCATTCCATGCTTGCTCAAAGGTGTGAAAAGTTAGTTAAAGCCACAGTTAGTCCTTAAGAAAAAAAACTTTGCATTACAAACAAAAGAGCTGTCCCAAATGGTTTCAGAGGTCTTCAAGGTAAAGTTCATTATTAGCTAAAACTCAGCTCAAAATACATTACTCCATCTAGTGGGAGGTGCTTTACAGCTTTTTTCAAAAGTGCTTGGTAGAATATTATTGTCCAGAAAGGGTCTATGATTCTCTCAAATCGTTGTTCAACCTTGCTGAATCAACTATGGACAGAACCGATGACTAATACCCCATTCACACCAGCAAAACATGTTTTGTTAAACTGGTTTTCATTGAATGAAAATTATAAACAGAGAACTGAAAAACTTGATTTTCCATTGGATTCAAGTACTTGCTAACTTGCATTTCCAATGTGCTACATTCAAGTCAAAAATATTCGGTTAAATAGTTTCTATGAAGAAAAAAAAAATTAAACTGTGTTTAACAAAACAACTTTTAAACATGTTTAAGCTTTGGTGTGAATGGGGCATAAGTATCTCTCTTTAAGAACAGGATGTAGAATGAGTTTGATCCTGGTGACAACATGTATAGCTTGTGTCAAATGACTGAATATAGCAGGGAAGGGAAGCATTTGACACCCATCTAGAATGCTATACACTGTAGATACCTAAGTAGGGTAATACTATAAACTACTGCAGAGTAGTAATTCTGAACATTAGTTTTGGTCAGGAGTGTGGTGGAGAAACTAGCATTTTGGCTTATGATGAAACGTAATAAAATTGATTCAAAAGAATCCATCGCCATTTTGAATGAGTGATTTTATTAGAACAGTGTTTAACATGTAGGACACACAGGTTGCTTAGTCACTACAACAAATGGCAGGAGTAAGTCTGAAAGACAATTCATGTTGTATCATGTGAAGAATGTGTTGGAAATCATTGTCCCTTTGTCAGGATTGTATGACCATAAGTTTTGGGAAATTCAAATTGGCTTGAATCTGTGCTATGATTGTACGGATAAGATGATTTGCAGCAACTTAAAATCGGTAATGTCTGCTACACACCTAATTTTCCAAAACTTGTCTCATCATGAAGCTTCTAAGAGTGTGGCTTCTACCCCATAGACAAGATGCCAGTCCAAAGCAGTGTTACCTTCTTGAATTTTTTTCAGGTTTCCCTGACAATTTGAAGGTAACCACATATAATCCCCATGTGGTTTAATGGTTAGCATGCTGGACTTCAAGTCTAATCCAGGTTCAAGAGCTGGCTGTGTTCTTGTGTTTTTTTTGAGGCAAAACACTTTACTTGACAGTACCTCTCTCCACCCAGGAGTATAAATTGGTATTGGCTAACTGTAGGGGGAGGTCAGATGACATGTGGGAGGGGGGGTTATAATACTCCAAGTTGCTTCGGGCTACAGAAACCTGGACGAGTTCTGGCTTGATGGGCCACATGGCTGACAAGAGCAAACTTGACCCTTTAACTCCCAGATGTGATAAACATGTAACCTCTCCTACCTCTCTGTTCACAGCACTACCCACCTGTCCAGAATTTCTTTCATCCTTGTACCCTGTAATCAGATGGATTCCTTGTGCATTTCATTGCATACATATGATTGTTCGCAAACACACTTCATTTGTCTCTATAAAAATACTTTATTCCCTTCATTTTCTAATTTACAGCTAATGGATACAAAAATAAATCCATTTTACTTCCATTAGTTGGTGTCTTCTTCACTAATCTATACTAAAATAACTAGTTTTAACCTCAAGGACACTACATAGTGTATGCATTTACAACTGGTTAAACCAAATCACTGGCAACAGTTCTCTAACATAACAAAACATTCTGCCATTCTGCAAAATTAATTTTCCCCAGATATCCTCTCTGCTAACAATCAGCCTTACTAGGGTGTTTGTCAAAATCTCACCCAGCCTCAGCTTTTAAAAAGCTCCGAAAATTAATTTTAAGAATTCTAAAATAAGCATTACAAGCATTCTATGAAATTCCTTTGGGTTTGCCACACATTCCTTATTACACAAGAAAGTTGCATTAAATTGTAAGCCCTTTAGCACTGTTAACCCTTAAACTCCCATGAGTGACCAAGAAATAATTTCTCCTCACAATATCAATACAATATCATGCATACAAGTGATGAGAATAAACACAAATATCAAACAGGAGATTATTAGTTGATCCAACACCAAATTCTACAAACTAACATCACAAGGATTGTATGGTAGACAGTAAGAAGAGTTATTATTAAGATCTTAGGAGTACAAGGGTTAAGTTCCAAGAAATGCACTGAACAAAGAAAATGTTTACTTAATCTAATACATGGCTGCTGGGTTTAGGTCATATGAGGTTTTTAAAACTAGATAAACTATTAGGTATTCCATACAAAGGTAATGATTTAAAAAAAAATTACTGATCAACAGGTACCTAAGAGAGCAATTAGACTGAAAATCAGTAACTTTGTTAATTGTAAAACAGGTCAATCACAGGTTGACAAGAACAATTTGACACCTCATTTAGTGTAAAATCAGTTAACCACACTTTTTGTATGTCTTCCTGACCCAGACGCCTTCACAAAAGTTTGCTTCAACAACTTTAACCAATGTTCAATAGCTGCATTAGTCTTTGACAAATGAAAACTCACCATGGTAAAAAAAAAAAAAAGCATTCTAATTAACAATACAGAAATAAAGGAATAAGTTTCACCCTTAAATTTTTTTGGTAAAAAAGTAAATCAATGTAACACTTATAGAAATAAATTATGCTAGCTTAGGCATATTTCTTTTGGCCTAAAAGAAGCACCTGAGTACATTCAAATGCCAGTTGATCACTAAGGGGCATTGCTAAAGGTATTCTAAAAAGGAAAATTTACAAATTATATGATGAATTCACTCAATACCACCATACTACTACTGTTCTCATTGTGCCCACACTTTCATATTGTCAACACATTTCTGGTATAAAGAAAAACAAACAAAATATTCTGCTGAGGAACCATTTACCCTGTAGGTAGCTAAGTCAGTCAAAACATTTCAATTTTTTCAATTGCATATTACGAAGCCATCAGAAATTGAAAAAAAGTGCAAAATATTAAAAAAAAAACAACAACAAAGAAAGGAACACTACTAAATTGATGGGGATGCTTAACATGAACAGCAAATTACAATTTTTCAAGATGGTACATGACAAATCTTCTGCAATATGCCCAACATATACTTGGACTATGAATTTACCTCTCATTTCAGACATTCTTTAAATGCTATACTCAACTACAATGATTTAAAAAATTATTTCACTTACAAAATACTGTTCCTAAACTGAACAAAAGGTATATTGTACACCAAAGTAAATATGAATTGTATACCAAACGTGAAGTTTTAGGTCTAATATGTTTTACTTTCAGATCTTCATACCTGAATTTAAAAAATTTCAATTAATTCTGAATCAAATATTCTTTAATTTACTAGGCAACCAAAAGTTATAACAAGGGGTCATAATTAAAAGACAAAATTTTTAAAACCAAAAGCTTTGGAGAAGATCCAAGTGGAAAAAGCTCAAATGTCTTAATTGCTGCATCGTTATGGTCCCCATCTTTAATACATTGACAGCTACAGAGAACAATTTTCCTGCCATGGTGCAAAACTGCAACATTAATCAATGTCAATTCTACCAATAATCCTGAGTATCATTTTACCTCAAATCCACCAGACAATTCCACAAATTCTGAACTTCTCAATGAAGTCCGTATATACTGTACATCTACAAGCCTACTTGATTTTGCAACTGTTACAATATTAGATAATATTATGACTTACTACATGTAGCTAAGCTGTATATATTTGCATAAAAGCTTTGCTGGCTCTTGAGTCGCATAACAACATGGTGTTACATGTATCCGGACACTGCTGACTGACTGTTTCCAGCCTTCAACCATGTTAGGTGAGCAGACTTCAGTGAGTTTAAGCACTTGAATGGGGATTGTCATGTAAGCCAACTTTGTGTGTCGGCATATTGCTAATGCTGTGGTTAAGCACAATGATGAAGCAGCTGTGAACCATGAGTGAGGTGCTTAAGACATCTCCATAGTAAAACTGCCTGAAAATATTCCAACACATCTAAATGCCATCTTACATTCTAAGTTTTGTCATTCATCTTAGACATGATAGCACGGACCCGCTTCTGAGCTATTGCTGCTGCTGAAACAGCATTCTCTGCAGCACCAACTGCATCTCCAGCTTTATCTCGTGATGCCGCAGCTCTTGACAGTGCAATCTGTGATTTCTGATCAGCTGTTTCTGCAGCATCTTGTGCTCCCTCACAAATTACTCTCAGTCTTTGTTTAAATCTTGTCACAAGAGAAACCAATGGACCCTTCTTTTTATTGTCTGTAACTAACTCGTCGTTTTTCCACTCTCCTTCCAGTTTCGTTTCATTTGGAAAGGTGGCCACGCCCAAACCATGGCGCATGTTTTCACTCCATTCGCCCATGTAGCTGAACCCGTCAGTATCGTACACGATACCCAATCCATGCCTCTTGTCATTCTTCCATTCACCTCTATATGTCTCTATCAAGCGACTGTTTGCCCTTTCAATTTGTCCATTTGAATCCACAGTTTCCATTGTGTAGGACTGAGCTGAGCCACTTCCCATTGTACTATTCAATGATCCATTTTGACTGGCATTCTCTGGATCACTTGCTGATCTGGGAGAATGTGACTGCGTTTCAGAAGTTTGTGAGGGTGTCTTGCGGTGACGTGCAAATGTTCTACTGTTCTGACTACTGTTAGGTAGAACACCATTAGATTTAAAATTATCCACAGTCGACTGTCTAGAGATACAACGTCTATAGTGCTTTGTACTGCTGCTTTCTCGCTTAACCTCTCCATGTCGGATACCATATCCAGAACGCATTCCTGTTTTCCACTGCCCATAGTAATATCCTAAAACATTAGTGAATCATGTTGATTAAAGCACACAACATTGGCAAACAAACAGCAGATGTGTATCTTGAGAATCTAGAAGAAAATTTTAATCCTAATTTTTCACACATATGTTCATCTATACACGCAAACATCAAAACTTTTCATAACAATGCTTATCAGATACAGGAAACAAGTCTGATGTCACAGGAAGTGCATTTCTGTGGTAAGCTATGACATTGTTTACATTTTCGAAATCTTATTGATAATGGCTTTCCACCACTCAGATTTATTTGAAAAATGTGGAATACAACTGGCAGAGTAGCAATAAAGACTAGAACCTAACAAGTATTCACTCAAAAGGGGCCCAGCCAAAGTTATTCATTGATTATCTTTGATGGTTCTCCTGCTTTAAGTATCATCAGAGCTGTTAATGTCCACCTATTCTTTTACTAAAGTGATCAATAACATCTACTTATTAACCCCTTCACCTCTAGGAGTGACTTGCATCTTATTTCTCAATACAGCATCACTATTACATCAAACATTACCTTATGAGAATAGGGGAAGTGACTATCATTTTAAGAAGCTCTGGATTGATAAACAAATTCTCCTCACCAATATTGTAGGAAATCTATAAACTACATTATGGAGAATATGCATACTGATGTTAAGGTGTAAAAGGTTTAAGGCTAGCTCCACCTCTGGAGTGTAATAAAAAATGTGGTTTTGCAGACCACATGTTAACACGACAGCCCACACTCTAGTAAATTTCCGGAAACACCAAATGATTGCGATAAGAAAAAAAAATTACATCCTTCTCAAAGGCATGAATCAAGCAAAGATAATATCAAAGAATTAATGTTCATGTTGCCAGAAAAACTAGACAAAATTTTTCATTCACATTCAACTTGATACAAGATATTCTTGTTGCACATACCATTGTTGCATTTTTTCAGTGTTGGCTAGAATACAGCAGATCTATTAAATGCATCACTGGGAGTTAATTTGAATTATTAAAAAATACAAAAGGACGCCTTCAGCTCTGAAACATATTATTGATTGTGGCTTGGTTCATTTTCATTCCTCTGCTGGAGATTCTTAACCTGCCGTGCACAAAATTAGAAGGCTAACCAGCCGATGAATTTTAACTAAGCAGTTGCTATATCAACCATGTCACACAATAAAATTTCAGATCCAAAGGACCTCATCAAAGGTTTTACGTCAGAAAAAAACAACACTGGAAATCTACGTCAGAAATAAATTGTCATGGATTGCTTGAGAGTGTAAAAAAAAAAAAAAATGGTTTTGTATGGTGGTATAATGAGATCCCTGCAGTTTAAATTCAGATGAAATATTTCCAGAAAATTCCCACAGATCTGTTCAAAGCAGGGAGACTCCAGTAAAGTCATGGGTTAGTACACTGCATGATATGTTTACCTTATAAGATTTCATTGGGTGCAACTGTTCTCATCATAACTGTACATAGTACTGAAAAGCTGAAGAAAATGGTTATTTTAGGAGCAGAAATTAGTAAAATGCTCAGAGTCTGCCATTCATCACTGAATGTGTCAACAAAATGACAAGAATCAAGTATCAAAATAAGTTATTTCCGAAAGAGAACTTTCCAAAACTGTTCAGGAAATGCTTGATACACTGGAGATGTTGAACAGCTATAAATTTCAAGAATCAATTAAGAAAGTGGAATGCCAAGATCAGATGATTTGTGGTGATATGGAAATAACTCAGAATGCAAATGAACGCAGTTTTGCTAAAAAAAAATAAATAAATAAATAAACAAATGAAATATCATCTACCGGTCTCAGTCCAATATCATTTCCAAGTCATTTATTAGTTTTTGACAGAAAAAAAGAAATAACCATGGCGAAAAACCTCAGGAATACTCAAGTCCAACTTGACACCACATGAAAAAGATCACCTGCACAACCTTGTCGGTGCCTACAGCGTTTTCAAATTGGGGCTGTTCTCAGGAACCAATCCGTGATTGAAACGAATAAAGTAAAGTACCATCCATTTGAAAACTTCTATATTCTAAAGTAAAAATGAGCTTTACAATCCATGAATGGGAACATGGAATGATAGACGCTAAAAACACAATCAGAGGTAATATCTCCAACCGAGCAACTCCTAAACACTCCCGATTCTGAAAAGTTATGGTTCGTTCTAGAACGGGTAATCGAGATCATTCGCCGCCAAAACATTCAGACGTCGACGAAAACACTCACCGAAATGGTCAACATCGTTTAGTGTGTTGACAAACTGCGAATGGGCGAACAGACAGCGGTGTCAGAGGCGATCTATTCACAAGCATGTTCTCTGTTTACGTATCTTGGACCCTATCTTTTTCTCAATGCCACAATCTCGCAACCCTTTCATCTACGATGTCCATTTGAGCTTTTCACAAACTACAGTTCGATGAATAAACCCGCATAAAGAGTACCCATGGATCTCACAGAAATGTAAACTTTTGAGAAACAGACAACCCAAACTTGTTCGCATGAGCGAAAAAAATTAAACAGCCGCGATCGCGGATATTTCGAATTCTGGTGAACAAGTCAAGCATAACAAGCTAGAACTGATAAAGCTCTACTTTTATTCTTTATCATGAAGAACTCCGACATATGTCTAGCGCTAACTAAAGAGTTACTGTGTCGAAAGCGATCGTGTCGTGGTGGATATATAATTTGCATTTACTTCTTAAGCTTGTGCTTCAGTCTAGTTTACAAAGTTACATTTCGAACGAAGAAAATAATCTCCTTTGGTATTTTCAGATAGGCACCAAGTCTTTAGGACGGATCTAGGAACTATTAATTCTCATAGAAAGGAATATTGGTCCCTGCCTTCATCCATTTAAACCATATATCACACAATCAAAACTTCGATCTAAGAATAGAGTCCCTCTAATCAAATGTTCTGGACCACCATTAAGTATTGATATCATTGCTGCATAAACAAGACCTCGGGAGCGTTCGACAGTCATAAAATAAGCTTAATCAGCAGGCATCTTACATGCGGAAAACGTACTCAAAAACTGTCAAATGAGAAGAGAAAAGCAGTAATGTCAAATGATTTTCTGCTAGTACAAAATCCGGATAAAGGAAATTTTGGTTAAAAAAAAGTGAAAATCCGTTTAGTGTAACATAACAAGAACGCAAATTGGAGAAATTAAGCGGCTTTAGCAAAGTACAGTGCTTCAGGCAGTCTCCAAAATACATCTATGGCTAATGACAAATTTTGCAAATGTATCTTGTCTAGTGACACAAATGACCAATTGAGTTCAATTTTCTTCCGAACATGGGTCATCATTCTTTAACAACCGCTGCAAATTGGAATCCATCTGCCGACAAATATGCTACAAATTATACCTTTGTTGCACTTCCCTTTCGAACAGTTATAACGAAACGTACCTTCATCAGCGTAAACCTCGATTCCATAACCTTCTTGTAGTCCAGACGTCCAACTTCCCTCATAGCGCGCCCCGCTTTGCGACTTCTGCACACCGTAGCGCGCTTTAAAACCTTCCTCCCACTCGCCTTGATAAGTCCATTTTCCTCGATATTCAACGCCAAGTCCGTGTCTGCGTCCATCGAGCCATTCACCCTCAAAGCGATGGCCGTTAGGCCAAACATAAACTCCGCTGAGTTCGAAGCCGTTGTTCCAAGAGCCTTCGTAACGAGCTTGTCCTTTTGGTCCGGTACAGATGCCATATCCATGTGCCTTGCTGGTTTTCCATTCTCCGCAGTAAGTTCCACCATCTTCAAAGTCAAAGCGACCTCCGCTCATAATAAACCGCGGCAAGCATAGCTCGCTAGCGAGTTAGTTTAAATCGGAAAAGCGAGTCAGTTTATCACCATCCTCTACACGTCTTTACTCATCTATCTACACGCGATGTGCGTTTGTTTCACTTGAATGACACTTCACGCAAATCTGCTTTCTTCAGACGACGCGCATGCTCTGCACCGAAAAGCCGCTAGCAGTTGCGTTTTGTTTTGATATTTGTTTATTTTTACCGTTTGTTTGCTAAGGATGTTGCCAGAGCATTTTAAATTTTCGAAGATGCTATTTTCCTGTGAAATTTTAATGCTCTGATATTTAGAGATCTGGACGAGATGGTAAGATAGCAAAATATTCCATCCCACATAAATAATTTTTATTTTTTTTCGAGATTTTATGATTATATGTTTACTAAGAGACCAATTAATTAAGCAAATATAGAAAAATTAAAGTTTCAGCCATGTGTGTGGTAAACAAGAAAACCAGATCAACTAACACCTCACAGAATATACCGAGCTGCTCACCGTGAAAAAATTGCTTACTGAGATATAGAGTGAAACGATAAGATGAGCAAAAGATTGGCCGCGCTAAGACTAGATTGCATTAACTCAAAAGAGCCTGAAAATTTTTTAGCCAAAATATTTCTATGACGTAAAAACTGTGACCCACTAAAGCTTAATGAGCTCTTTGCAGAATGGTCATCGAAGATTCACGAAGCATTATCGGAGGGACCACATGTACAATTATCATATTTACATGATACTAAAAAGTTCATATGGACGGCTTACATATCATAAAGCCAAATACAGCGTGAAACTTGATAATAGTTATTTAAGTCTGCTACAGATTCATTTTCCTCGCAAGGGTAGGTTCCATTCAGACATATGGAGTGTAAACATTGCCAGTTTGTTTCTGTCTTTCAAAACTTTCCTTTTACCGCCGTTGGACATAACTTTTTCAAGCGCAAATGTATCTGTCTCTTTCCGCAAGAAACTACTTATGATTTTCCTTTCTTAGTTCCTGTGGTCGGGGACAGATATTAGACGCATTGTCATTGGAAAAGTCTAGAACAGACGTGTTTATTTTTCCTTGAGTGATAGTTGGTTACGTTTGAGTTCTTCCCGCTTTTGTCCAAATACGAAGCGATCTCCTGCTGCGAGATTAAGATGAAAATAGCCAAATGAGACGATTTAGTGTTTTTGACTAACCTAAAGTTTCACATCGGGCCATAAAAATCATTGGCTTAATTGCTTTCATCTGCAGGTCCTGCGAAATGGATGTATCTGGAATGAGCAATCAACACAAACACACCGACAACACTTGCTCCGACTTAGAAGTCACGCGAACAAAAATGTCAAATGAAGATTAATCTCTTTTGCGTGATCGGCGTCAAAATTCACCTTCAAGTCTTTCTTGAGAGACGACTTTGCAGCTAGTAATCATCTTCTTCAACTTGGTGACAGTAAAGAAATTTAACGAAAAAAAAACAGGTAACTTTGACCAGTATCAGATGGTGATGTTGATAACTGTTCGGTCTGTAAGAAAAAGTAAACAAAATAGAAATAGAATCAGCAGTTGGGTCCTTTTCAAAACAAAGATTTTTTGTTTAATAAACAACATTCCTGGACTAAAATCTGTGAAATGTTACATTACTGATCTGTTTGTAATCAAAGGTGACAATGTTTACAAAATACACTGATCATATCCGGACATTAGAGAAGTTTAATAACTTTTAATTTTTCTTTTTGTGAATTCAGTGCAACAAACTGGCTCACCGGATATGGCGGCGCGTACAAGTGTGGAAGTATCTTTTTTAGACAACTTTGCATGGGTGTTTTGGGAAAAAATGGCTGAATTAATATAAGCATCTTTGCAAAAACCTTGCTATTCAAAAGTGTAATTATACGGTGATGTTACACTTGAGTGCCAACCATCTAAGTGAAACAACACACAAAAAACTTTAATTTTACCAGTAACACGATGAGGAAAACCTACATCAGCTAGCGAAATTGTCTACTTCCGGTTTGTCACTCTGTGATATTAGGCATGGGTTGGAGACCCTAAGAAACTCTACACTGTTCCACGCACTGTGTTTGCGGGGACGAGTGAAAAAACAGGGCAAGCGAGAAAAGGAAAAGTGAAGACACCATTTGTAAACTGTTGAAGATTTTAAAGTTCTCTTTGTCTATTTTGTTTGCATGTTTTTGCCAAACGGTTTCCCGAAAGCGTGACTTTCAAATTATCACCCTCAAGTTTTTCTAGTCTGTTCAGCTCAGAATGCTTTTTTTTTTTAAAAATCCTCCGCTTTGAATGATTATCGCTTTGATGAAATTTCCTCACTCAACGTCTGAGGCTTAAATGGGTTCAATATGACATTTAATCTCGGAAATCATAATGGAACTGGCTCGGACTTTGCTCTTAAAAAATGGCCCAGAAGAAACAACTTCAATCCTGCCTTTTATCTTAATTATTGGTTGGTAGCGTAGGCGTTTCACCATTAATTACGTAAACGTCTAAGGATTTTATAAGTTTTGACGACTGGACCAAAGAAAAGTACAAACATTACGACGAAAAAACGTTTTGTATAGAGATAACAGCAAACTTTGATATCTGTATTTTCTATTCGTCGCAGATCCAGTTCCAGTACAACACTATCACGATGGAACCAATCATAAAAGTTGAACTCGGCTTCAGACTGCTGCATGTATAGCTTCAGTATATCCGTTCCCGAGTATGAGGGCTGTTCCAATTGATTTTCGAGCTTGCAAGGGAAGGGATTAAAAAAAAGGCGAATAAATGACTCTTGTTTCTAAAAAAAAAAAGGGCGCCTCACTTGTTGACCCTCCCAAACTAAGCTAGACTTTTCTGTTACTCTTTTATCGCACGTTTGCTGTGTAGCCTACTAGCAGGGAAGCGTATTTCTGTTGTTTAGATTCCCTCGATTCGATATCTCTTTATTTCATTTTCTGTTCTATTTCTGATAATTTTTTCAGGGTTCTAAAATCAAACCAGTAGAAAAAAATAAATAAGCCAACAACAACAACAGATGGCCATTACGTGTGCGATCATAAAGGTATCAACAAGTTTCGCGGTATATTCTGAATTTCTCCAACCTTGTTTAACCCTGTTGCTGAGGCCTTTACTCGGATTGCTCTAACAATTATTGTAATAGGATTCTCTGCACGAAGATATTTTATTTTCATACTCTATACAGAAAGTTTTTGGCACGTTAACATTTTTCCCCTGTTTCTCGAGATTTATTTTCTAAGGGTCTTATACTCGGAGTGTCTGGTAGTTTTCTCTTGATTTACGAAGTTCACGGCAAAGTAGAAATTGTATCCCTCTTTGTTAAAGAACAGGTAATAGACGGTCTTCCCCTCTAAAAAAGCTCTCACCCTCCCCTCCCGTGGAAAAACTAGTTTGAAAAAACTAAATCACCTTACCAATTTTGTTTTTCATGGAGAGCGGTTGGTTTGATGCTCATACTAAAGCAGTGGTCACCCGCTCTGAACGTGAGGTAAGACTGTGGTGGTTCAAAGTTTCCAAAGGTTGGTACGTGTGCGTTTGTTACAAGGGACATTACACTACTGTTACATGAGTGAAGTTTCGGCCACTGCGCCTGATAACTCAGTGCTTATATTGGCCCTTTTCAAGAACAATCTCGTGATTACGCATTTCTTTTAAAATTCTGTAGTGATATTGATGAGCAGAGCTCCCAAAGTTGCCAAGATAGACATGGCTACCTCTCTGAAAGAGTGTCCCGAGTTCAGTGCGTTGCAATCACACTATGAAGCTGTCTCCAATCTCCATATGCGAAGCCTTTTTGAGAAGGATCCTGGGAGATTTGATAAATTCAGGTAACATTCCTTCAATATCGAGCTGTTGTTTGTTACATTTTGTTTAGATTGGCCTTGATATACGTTAATCGTAGCCGTGCAGAGGTCTGCGTTCCTGGAATGTTTTTTGTTACTCGCGTGATTCAAAGTTCGAATCAGCTGTTTGTAACGTTTTTATTATTTTGACAAAACAAAATATCTTTTAAAATATGCGTGACTCCACTAAGAGATCACTGAGTTTGCATATATAATAGATCGACATTTTAGCTTTCATTTGCTTCTAATTAAGTACAAATTCTTGACCAAAGATTCTGAAACAATGGCTGTCATCGCTGATTTGACATAATGATGTCGATAGGACAATTTAGAATAAAGATATTAAAACTAGTTTAACTTGCGTGCTGCTTCATTCCTCTGTGTCCTAGGGTATAATGTATGCAGATGTATAAATTAATGGAGCAAAAGAAATTCAGCTGAGGAAGACAGTCGTTTCTTCCTCAGTTGCTTAAAGAAGCATTTGATGAGCCAGTGTGCATATGAAGGGGCAAAGCGGAAGCCCCACCCATGCCCCCTGCCCCCTGCCCCCTCTCACAGGAGAGAGACTGATAGAGCTTGAATCTGTGATGTTTGCATTCAAAACCAAACCTGTTCTCTGAAGTTTGTTCAATTTTGTCACTTTTCCTTTGGGCTATTTCAGCGTGCAACTTGACACTCAAGATGGTACCCTGTTGGTTGACTATTCCAAAAATATTATCACAGAGGAGACCATGAAACTTCTTATGAATCTGGTATGTCAATGGAATGGCTATAAAGATATCAGGTTTTCATTCTTTTCTGGGAAAGAATGGGCTTTGAAGAAAACATAAGTAGTTTTTTTAAATTGAAAAAGTTACAAGGGTGTAATTTTTCTTGCCACAGGCAAAAGCTAGAGGAATAGAAAGTGCACGTGAGAAGATGTTTTCCGGAGAAAAAATTAATTTTACTGAGGTATGTTTTAAATGGTATTTGACTTTATAAAAGAGATATATTTCAAGGTGGCACAAACTTAAGATAATTGAACAATCTTTCCCTGAGTATTCTTTTGTATCCATTTGTACCTTGGGCCACGGATGTTGGAAGGGGAGATATGGTTATCCTCATGATAAATCTCTATCCAATAAATAAAGGGATACATTTTGTTAACAGTTATCTACTGGGTAGTGATTTATCTGTTGCATAGCGTCATGCACTGTTTGAACTGGGTCCTGGGTGGAAAAGTCTCTCATATTAAACTGGCCACAGTTTGGTCCTAATCCTCTTACTTCAGAACCCAGTTAGCTAAGTTGTAAGCCACTGCTCCTCCTATGTGTGTCACTAAACTGAGCATTGACTAAAGTTTATGTGTTTTTTTTTCAGAACCGAGCAGTTCTCCATATAGCTCTTAGAAACCGTTCCAATAAACCAATTACTGTGGATGGAAAGAATGTAAGTTTGCTTGTAGCAGACAAACAGTGTAAAATCTACAATACTACAGCTAATTTCTTCAAATTGAGAGACTGGTTATGAATTAAACAGGTGTAACTTGGAGAAGTTTTGAATTATACACATTATATTTAATTTTGCAACTGTTATAGTGTTTTTTTATGCAAGTGTCCAAATATATAAAGGATGTATGTAGCTCAATTAAGGGGGGTAGTAGGAATTTAATCTGGTCATGCAAGCTCTTCCTTGACTCCATAAATTTCATTTAACTCTTATTATTATTTTTTTTAAATAGGTAATGGATGATGTGAATGCAGTTCTTAACCAGATGAGGAGCTTCACTGAGGTAGGCTTGAGTTAACAACAGTCTGATGCTAAATTAGACTTCTATACTTAAAGTTCATGATTTGTTGTTAATTAAAATTCATTTTTATGTTTGATTTATAGTTTTAATTTATTGTAAATATGCACTTTTATCATAAAGAACTTCTGTTATTAATCAAAATCACTAATTAGTAACTATTTTTTTGCACAATCTGTTATAACTTCTTAAAGTAGAATTTTGGTTTTGCAGGCTGTAAGGAATGGCACTTGGAAAGGTAAATGAAAACATTTTTTCAGTCAATCATTATAATAAAATATTTAAAGATATTAACCAATAAATTAGTATTTTTGTAATGACAGAATGAAAGTTATTTTGATGAGGATCTACAAGACAGTAAATTTTGATCTCTAAAGAAAAGGGACTGATACAAATAAAACTGATTTGAAATATAAAAGATGGAAAAAAACTGTAAATTTACTTACATGCATTTGAGATGCTGTGATTAATTTCACCTTTTAACCTAAAGAGTGACTAGCATCTAATTTCTCCCTACAATTTCACCCCTGAATCAAACATTAAGGTCATGAGAATAAGGAAAATGATCACCAAATTGAAGAAGCTCTTGATTGTTAAACAAATTCTCCATGTGACAGCACCTTAAAAAATTTGTAGATAAAAGTATGGACTGAGATAAAGCATACTGATGTTGGGGATTAAAGGATTAATACTTTTTTGTTTCTTCTTTTCTCTAGTGAGATTTCTTGATTATTTATTAAGCATATCCAAGTACAGCTCTTCTCCTTTAAGATTTGAGATATTTAATATGTTTTATGATAGACAGTTTCAATTTAGTGTTGCCTCTATTTTCTTAATATTTATTTTTAAGAAAGTCTTCATTTCCTTTCTTTTAAGGTCATACTGGAAAAACGATAACAGATGTTGTGAATATTGGAATTGGAGGATCAGACCTGGTAAACATGCAATTTTTGTTCATAAAAGGCAATGCTATACAAAATATATAGTATTCACAATTGTGATATAGAAAAGTTTTCACAAAAATAGAGTAAAGGTGTTCTGCAAAAAATAATTATAGCAGTTTACTGTGTTTCAAGTATTAAAAAGTAATATTTGCTGTAAGCTAGACAAAAACAAACAGTCAAATAGTTTACTGTGTAGTTGATAATTAAATCAACAATAAACATGTAAGTATTATTAAATAAATAAAACTTAAAAAATACAGGTATAGACAAATAGGTATCTTTTATCAATTAATAAAAAAAGGTGTAGCAGGTTTTCTCTAACTAGTTTTACATGGGAAAGGAGCCAGATTAATTAAAATATGGAATAATTTTTCAGGAATGTGTTAAAAGGGGTTCACCTTTGGTTGATAATATAAATTTTTGATAAATAACGTATTAAGTTAAGTTTCAATGTTGTTCATTTACGATTACATAGGGTTGATTATATTGAAGTTATTGATATGTACCTTTTTGTTATTAGAGTTGCAAATTTTTATAGCGTTGAGCTCTATGTGGATGGAACATACAGATACCTATTCTCTATAGATACTAGGTTATTTTAATTTATCTGTAGGGACCACTGATGGTGACTGAAGCCTTGAAACCTTATGGCAAAAAAGGGCTCAGTGTCCATTTTGTCTCCAATATTGATGGAACCCACCTGGCCAAGACTGTAGCAACTCTCAATCCAGAAACTACATTGTTCATTGTAGCATCAAAGGTATATGCAACTGAAACTCAATATTCTAGTTGTCCAAATTTTATGACCTTTTATATTTAGTCATAATTTATTATTAGTTGGAAAATGAAAAGCTAAATTTTCTTTGTCACGCACAAGGTAGTCTTTTAAGATCTGTGTCAAACCATCAAGCTTATCTAGGGTTTTGTCCATTTCCTGTACCTTCATTTGATAGGTCTTAATTAAGCTTTGACTGTCTCTCCTTCACTACCAACAAAATTTCATTAACAGAATGGTAAGGTTTGTCTCAGACAAACTTTGAAATAGCACTCTAATTTATTATAATTACTTTGTTTTACTGGGAGTTGAACAAGGGGTTGAGATACTGAGAAGTTGGTTGATAACTCTTAACATCTTCCAAAGAAATTGATTTCCAGTTGTAGCCTCAGTCTATTTGATTAACCCTTTGGCTGGTAAGAGTGACTAACATTAAATTTCTCCTTACATTATCCAGTAACAGAGGGAACTATTGCCAATTAAAGAAGCTCTTGACTGTTAAACAAATTCTCCTTGTCAGTACCTCAGGAAAAGTATAGAGAACAGTGTGGAGAATTTCAATACTGATGTCAGGGTGTAAAGGGTTAATAACTCCTGCAGCCACCTTATTGTGGATATCATAGAGTTTCTTTTCGAGTTATTCACATGCAGCTACTGTAAGTCAGAAGTTAAGAATGGTAATTTTTTTTTCTACAGACATTCACCACCATAGAGACCATTACAAATGCAAAATCAGCAAGGGACTGGCTGTTGAAAGAGTTGAAGGATGTATGTTTGCCTTGCCCTTTTATAAAATTATTTAGATTTCTATTTATATCCACCTATGATTTATACTTGAGAGCAGCACAGATGTTGTTTAGCCTCTATACTGGCATCTGGAAGTCAACATTTGGTTCTATGTAATTTTTGTCTATGACATCAAAGTGTAATCAAAAAGCAGGTTTTTCTTATTAACATTTTTAAGAACAGCCTATACTTATTGTTTGATCAGGTCATGTGGGTGTTAATGACTTTGTACTTTCTATCTGTTGATAGACTTCAGCGGTAGCAAAGCATTTCATTGCTCTTTCTACAAATGAGGTATGGACATAAATTTTGGTGCCTATTTAGTTAATTCTCATTACATTTTGAGATTTAGCATAGGCAGCAAAAGACATATTTTCATATTCAAGTAATTATTAACCTCATGGGGTATTTACCTTTAATCGTAGCAGGCAGAGTAAACTTACTGTTCAATTCTTAACTTGTATCAATTATTTGGTAAAATTGTTGGAAAAAGACTAATTCGTTAACATGAACTAGTTGCCCAGCAATTCTTCTCTAATTAATTGTAAAGATAATGATAATGCCCTTAGTCTTGCATGCAATTTCTACACCTCAGTATCTATAAAAATATAATCTTTTGAGTACATTCCCCTCTAATAGTGGTTTTAATTTTAGTGAGAAAAGGAGAGTAATGATCCTTACCTCCTTGAGTGGGATTCTCATTCAGAGCAATCCAGTGTAGATTATCCAACTCCCTCCCCTTGGAAATTGAATGTTAAGTCTAAGAATGTAAGCTGTTTCCTCATCCCAGTCTCTCTAACATGATTACCCTGATGGGGAACTGGGTTGAGGAGATAGGTCACATTTTTGAGTTGCTGAAGATGGGCCTAACATCATAGCAAAAGCACATTTCTAACCATTCCCTTCCCAAGATCCAAATATCAATTATCTGTGCAATGTTTGGGATAGATTTCTTATTATTTAGCCCTGAAAATTTTATTTTTTTCATAACCTCTCCTTTCAATAATGTAAGGAAAAATTCCTTGTTGGTCACTCCTGGGATTGAATGAGCTCGGAAAGTGATGCAGCAATAACTCTCCCTAGAATTTTGCCTGTCTTGTTCAAACTTGAGATTAGGGCCTAGATTATTAGCCCTTTTTTTTCCACAGGTGGAAGTCACTAAATTTGGAATAGACAAGAAAAACATGTTTGCATTTTGGGATGTAAGTACAACTTTTATATGTATGTATTTAACCCTTGAACTCCCAAGATATGATTGTTAATTCTCCCTGCTAACCACTACACATTTTCTTGTAAATTGATTATGAGAATTTGATGTTTAATCTAGGTTATATCTTGAACCTGATAGGTTTGAGTATTCTCATTTCCTGTTTGCTAGATAATGCATGGATACTGTAGGGTTACATGTTAATCACTTGTGGGAGTTAAAGAGTTAAAGAACTTTGATTATCTTCCTTGGAAAGAGGTTGGGTGGTTGAAGGTTTTAGAAAACAGGAGACATGACTATTTCCTAATAATTATTAAGTGATCTATATTTCACTTTCATTTGTTTCCTTTTCAGTGGGTTGGAGGACGATATTCTCTTTGGTCTGCCATTGGAATGTCAATTGCTGTTTACATTGGTATAAATCTGACTTCAGTGAATCATAATTATTTTTGATCCATAAGTGAATTGATCAATCCATCAGTCAATTGATCCATCATTATTAATTCAGGTGGTCAATCAGTCTGTTGGTTAGTGACAGTTAGTCAGTCAGTCATATTAGGTGGTCAATCAATTTGCCAGTTAGCTGCTCAATCAAGCATTTAATCAGTTAATATCAAGCAATCCACTATATCAACCAAGAAATGATCAAATAAACAATAACTTAATTATTTGTTCAGTTAGTTGGTTGTTCAGTTAGTTGGTTGGTCAGTGGGCTGGTCATGATCTGTCAGTCAGTCAATCAATTATATGTCATTAGTCAGTCAGTTTAGTTTCATACTTTCTCTGCAATAAATTCTTGCTTTATTTATATTACTGTATACCTATTCAAGCCTTATTATTTTAAACAACAAAAGTGGATGCCTTTCAGCATGAGTAGTGATAGCTTTTTTATTTGTTTTTGGTAGGAATGGATAACTTTGAAGCCCTCCTTGCTGGGGCTCATGCTATGGTTAGTACAATTAGGTGGTCAGAATGAACTCTTTTGTTCCTAAGATCTGATTTTGAGTTCTCCCCTCCAGTAGCTACACATTTGCTTGTAAATTTGTTAGTAGAATGTGGTATTAAATCAAAATAACAGCCTCTACCTGATGAGTTTAAGCATTATCATTACCTGTTTGTTGGATAATATATGGATGTTGTAAGGAGAAATTACATGTTAATCACTCCTGGGAGTTAAAGGCTTAAGCAAGGAGCTAAAGAACTAATCAAACATAAAAGACAAGAGTGAGAGAAGAAATTTAAAAAATAGCCTGCAGAGCAGGTGTGATTTCGGTGAGCGAGTGCTCAATATTTTCTAGGTGAAAATTATACCTACCATCCTTAATTTTTACTGCAGAAGCAGAAGGCTGGGGAGAAAATTAAAGAAATTTGTACTAAGGGGGTGAGAAATTAGTTAAAGGGAGGAGAGGGAAGGGGTGGGTCAATAGAAATCAAAACAAAAATAAACTTTTTACACCACTATTACTGACCACTATTACTATTACTGAAAAAATGCCTAATAATATTTAATCTATTACACTACAATGTTTTTTTGTAGGATAATCACTTTTGTTCCACTCCTTTGGAGAAAAATGTAAGTATCCAATTTAAAGCACAGAATTATTTTTGGAGTTTCAAATTTACATTTATCTGGTGCAGTGATTGTGGCTCAAGGGGGGATGGCATTTATGATACTGGAGGGGATGGAAGAATATGTGAACTTATCAGGTAGTATTACATATTATTGAAAAATTCTCATGATATTATTGTTCATGTCATGCCCTCATCTGAGCTATTACATTTTGGATTTTTTATCGTTTTGGAAACAGATTCCAGTAATCCTGGGAATGTTAGGAGTTTGGTACAACAACTTCTTTGGTGCTCAGACACATGGCCTTTTTCCATATGATCAGGTGAGCACCTACTACCACTAAACTTCCCGTTTTCGTTTAAACTTCTTTACCTGTATACCCTTAAATAGTCTTAAATAACAGATTCACGTTAATTATCCTCAACGCTGCTTTGTTTGGGTTTTCAGTACATGCACCGTTTTGCAGCCTATTTTCAGCAGGTAAGAATGGATGATAAACCAGTGTGTTTTCTCTTTAAGTATCTGGAGCAATCCGAAATTGTTTTACTCTAGTTTCGCTTAACTTAGTAATTTGTTTAAAAAACGCGCACCACCCTTTCAATTGGAAAAATGCCAGACAAAGTCAGTTGTGACCTGTTCTTCACTTATGTTTTCCCTCGCCTATGACCATCCTTGTGTCTTTATTTTGAGTTATTCTCATAGGCTTCATACAAATATATACCTTTGATCTGATTGTCTGGTAAGTTAGCTTTAAATTTGGTTTAAGGATACTTAGGAAAAAATAACCCAAGCTTTCTTTTTTTGAGCCGGTTTCTTTCCAAACATTCTGAAGTAGACAGGCATCCATTGAGACTTTTTTTTATCAGGGTGACATGGAATCCAATGGAAAGTATGTCACACGTAGTGGTGCGCATGTCAACTACTCCACCGGACCCATTGTATGGGGAGAGCCTGGGACTAACGGGCAACACGCATTCTATCAGCTTATCCATCAAGGTAAATTACACCATGTTACGTATTTTGATAATGTTATTCAAGAGACGTAGTGATGTATTTTATGCCTACCACGGTACGGTAAGGTTGGCGAGGTCAGGTCTGGGTTGTGTTCATGAATGTGGGTGAGACACTTTACTTCCATGCTGCCACCCACGAATTTGTTGTTGTTTTTTGTTTGTTTGTTTTATTTTTTTTGAGTTCGTAGAATAATATTTTGTGGTTTCTCACACGTCAAATATACTTATGATACGCGTGATTTTTTCGCTCTCAAATTTCGTTCGCTTTCCTCTGTAGGAACAAAGATTATTCCAGCAGATTTCCTGGCTCCTGTTGAGACTCAGAATCCTATAAGTGGTGGATTGCATCACAAGGTACGATTGTTTATATGGCGGTTATCTTAAGTAAAAGACGCGTAATATCTTCGCTGTCTTGTAAACCGTTGTCTGTTCTGTTACAGATTCTTTTGGCCAATTTTCTGGCTCAACCAGAAGCTCTAATGAAAGGGAAGACAAGCGACGAGGCTCGTGCTGAGCTGGAGAAGAGTGGAAAGTCTGGAGATACATTGGAGAAGATTTTACCCCATAAGGTACATCACATAGTATTATGCCTCTCAAACACACGTTGTGTGACGAAAAGGGTCGGGTCTGTTTGTTTGTTTGGAGGCTTGGCATATTAACTCCGCCCACGCTCCTTTAAATCGTGACGATGGCGGTTTTTCCGACGCCCCATCTCGTCAGGAAAAGCAAAATTAGTGATCATATAAATGACCTGAGTTGCAGCGTTTAACCCTGATGAAGGCACAACAGGAGTCGAAACGTTGGGTCTATGAATCGTAACTTCTTCAGTTACATTCATTAAATCTGCAAACCAGAGTAGCGTCAAACTATGTCTGTGTCCCTTTATCTATCTCTACATCAGCCAGTTTTCCGCTTTCCCCTGGGATTGCAAGAATTTCCAAATTGAGTGAGACTGAAATGTGCAGCCAACCGCGGTCTTCTAGCCTTAAACTTTTACACCATCATATCAGCGTGCATATTCTCCATACTATTCTCTATACATTTCCCAAGGTGCTGACAAGGAGAATTTGTTTAACAATCAAGAGCTGATTCAGTTAATGATCGTTTCCTTTATTCTCATGACCTTAATGTGTGATTCAGTTGTGATATTGGAAGCTAGTCACTTTTAGGGGTCAGAGAGTTTAAAAAAGAACTACTAGGACGCCTTCATGATTAGGGGATTAGATAGAACTCTCTCCTTCTTGGGAGGTTTCTAAAAGGATGTATTGCATCGCAGTGACATCCTTTTTTTTTTACTCTATCCAGCGTAATTCTTAATTGCCGAATGTTTTGATTGAACAATTTTAACAGATCTCGATTCTCAATGATTGTTTCCACCCGAAATAAACTATTCACGTCTCTGTTTGCATTACAGGTGTTTATGGGTAACAAACCCACTAATTCCATTCTGTTCCAAAAACTGACTCCGTTCATTCTTGGTGCCTTGCTTGGTGAGTTATATGTTCCAGTAGTGATTTGCTCGTATAGTTTAAGTTATCTTTTCCATGAGATGCATGGTTTAAATATCACGTGATTGTGAGAGCTATTTTCTATACTTTCAAAGTGACAGAGTGCGAGTAAGACACGCGGCAGTGATCAGACACACGAAACTTGTGGCTCTCATGTGCCAGCCTAAATTACTTACTTTAAGTCCTGCGAAAATTTGTTAAGTGAGTTAATGAAAGACAGTAACATGCTTTTAAAATGAAGTAAGCGAATACTGACTCGATTCCTTACTTCTCTTTTTCTACAGCCATGTATGAACACAAGATATTTTGTCAGGGAGTAGTCTGGGATATAAACTCCTTTGACCAGTGGGGGTAGGTAGCTTACTTGTCTTTGTACTGGGCGAGCAAGCGAATTAATACAAACGCGACAATAATACGCGAGGAAATAAGCAGAAATTGGTGTCTGTAGTTTATGCTTCATCGGTATCCAGAAAAACTCCCGTGTAAGGAATAGCAATTGGGAAAGTTCTCCTCAGTGTGACATTTTGTTTAGTGAACGGTAAGGAGAATAAATAATTGAATTTTTTTTTCTTACAGAGTTGAATTAGGCAAACAGCTTGCTAAAGCAATTCAGCCGGAGTTAGAGGGCCCTGAACCAGTGACGTCACACGATTCTTCGACCAATGGTCTTATTAACTACATAAAAAAACACTCCACCAAGTAATGCTGGCTTGGAAGGAATGTCAGCCAGGGCTCAATTGTTTGTATTTAAGTTGCAGTTAGCGATGGGGAATGTCGTGCATGAAATTTTTATGAACCTGCAAAGTAAATAACGTGAATCTTAAAATAACTGCTCAAAGCACTGCAGTAGCTATCTCAATGGTGTAGTGGCTAGACCACGCGTCTCACTTCGTCCACTTTGTTTGCATGTTCAATTCAGTTTTGGCGCGAGTTTTGAGTGGTGCCTCGAGGCTTCTGGTAGATCACAAGGGACAAGACACAGGAACTTCTCAGCAAGTTTCAACATATTCATTGATAGATTACGAGTGGACACCATAGTTGACGTGCAAACTAGGCAAGTTATATAATTTTGGCGAAGCCGTTGAAGCCTACAAGCTGTGGAAAGTTGTGAAATTAAAAAAAATGAGACTCTAAAGTTTCGTAAAGTAGTTAAAGTTGTTATTTCTGTTAGACAACAAATAAAACTACAGTCATTCACGTTAAAGCCTCTTAAGTAAAACGTTGTTATCAAGAACTTTTTGAAGTTCTTGCTAACAACGTTTTACCCTGCCTATACTGACGAAAGGAACATGTATTCTTAAAATGTTCTGAAGACATTTTTTAGTTTTTGACGAACTTAGCTTCGGGAAACACTCTAATCCATATATGAATTGAAACGTAAATGCCCTTTCATAGCATTTAACTTTTGCGAGGTGTGCCACAATCTTAGGAGGACACCGCTTAGTAGAGCTGACTGGTCAACTCCACGGTCCGTAACAAAGCACTCCCAGAAACTGTTGTTAATATAGGAAATTGAGGCGGAAGGTGAGATGAGTTTCTCTCGCGACTCCATAAACTATTTAGGTAAATTGGAATACACTTAAAATGTTCGAAATTAAGTCAATGTAAAAAAAAACAGAGTGGTTACTTCACACAATAGAACCATGTACTTAAGTATCGAGGGAATTTACTCATGTCAGAAAGGAATATATCTGAAATCAATACTCTCTCTAATACTGTTTCACGCACAGTCTAACTTAAAAGCTAAACTTACAACAAAATTTAAAGTTAGTTTGACGAACTGTTTTTTCTTTTTTTTCTTTTACTGCTTTCATGTTAACTGCTCATGCTATTCCATAGCATTTAAGTTTTCCCAGAGTGTGATATCCTTCTTCTGGTTCATCACCTGTGTCACCAAACCTGAGCTGTTTGACTGGTAGATGTGTCTTTTCAGTGAGCAGACCGCTGTCTTCACGCCATACATCGTCATTCTTATCACAATTACATGGATAACTGGGGTTTGCACAGGAATTAGTCATCCCGCATGCGCACTTACCACTTCCAGGTGTTGCTCCACCCCAGGTCGTCATTTTAGCGGAGTCGCGTGACACCCACCATGCTTGTTCACGTCCCTTCTGTTTTATTAGAATTGAACCATGACACTCATACTTGATAAACTGTTCACACTGTGAGGAGACACTGGTGAGACTTGCGAGCTGAGACAAACTCGCTCCGGTATAATCAATGTCTCGTGAATAACAGCCTATAGGCTCACATCCGTTCACATGTGTTCTACTTTCACTGTCGTGACTAATAACAGTCACGCCAACTCCATTCTTGTCAGTCATGTCACAATATACCGTGAAAGGTGCCAGTCCCCCTTCGCCATCTGGATCAATGACGTAATTTCCGTTTGCGCTACTGACGTATTTTCTTATCACAGAACAAGACGAAATATTACGAAAGATGATTTTAACTTTGGCTTCTATTGTTGTCAAAGCATTAGTCGCTCTGCAGGTGTAATTTCCTTGGTGTGATTCCCTGATGTTGTTTATAACCAGTGTTCCATTTTGTAGAACATTAGACTCCACAGGAAGAGGAGACATGCCATCCTTTGTCCAAGTGATTTTATTGCTCAGGTCACTCTCGGCCGCACATGGCACATAAAGAGGAGGATACAGAGTCACCTCCTGAGGAGGACGCACTTTGAACTTCAGAGCAGTAAATACCATGAGATGAGCAGTGTATGTCGCTGATCCTAAAGTATTCTTTGCCTTGCAAATGAATATTCCACTGTCCTTTTTCGCCAAACTATAGATTTTTAACTTTCCATTCTTCACTTCAGTCCTATCTTTTGGCAAACTACCCGCTGCCTTAGACCACGTGATGCTTGGCTGCGGCTGACCGACAGCATTGCAGGCAATAGTGACGTTCTGTTTCTCTTCAGCCATTAATCGACTTGATGATAACTTAGGTTTAGGGACGACTGTGGAAAAGAAAACGCAGATATAATTCCTTTCTCAAAGAGTGTTGACACTGAAATTTATGTTATAGTTTAGTTTCGTAACACCCAATATTATGCCTTAATTATAGGATCAAATAAGAAAAAAAAAATCAATTTCTTTTTAAGGATTAAAGTTTAACTTTGGAAGCTTTAGTTGTCTTCTCGCAAGGAATGTCTCTCAGTGTGTCAGATGAACTGTTTCATTTGATTACTTTCAAACTTAAATTGAATGACTTACACTGAACAGTTAATTTTGCTGAGGAGTTCACTTGTCCCAGCAAACTCTCTGCCCTGCAGCTGTAGACTCCGTCGTCCTCAGGTCTAACGTCTTTTAGAATCAGCGTACCACTGGACTCTACCGTGTGACGTCCAACAGGAAGCGATGATATCACCTTAGACCATTTGACTTTTGGCCTTGGGTTACCACTCACTTTACATTTCAACATGGCTGTCTGACTTTCATTGACTGTCATTCCAATGGGTCGCTCAATCAGAGATGGCGCTGAGAGGGACTCACCGGGCTTACCTGTGGCTCCTTTCTCACCCAGTGGCCCTCGCGGTCCCAAGGGACCGGGGCCCCCTGGTAATCCGACATCCCCCTTTATTCCCATCGGCCCCGGCGGTCCTATAGGTCCATATTTACCAGGTGGCCCTTCTGGACCAGTTCTTCCAGGAGAACCCCGTTTCCCTCGCTTTCCTGGTCTTCCTCGTCTTCCCCTGTTACCTTTTTGTCCTGCTTGGCAAAGTGTGTGATTTTTTGCGCAGAACTGGTTTTGCAGTAGACTAAGCTCTTGTTTGATCAGCTTTTGTACCAAAGAGGATGCTAAGGAAGAGTTTTGTTGTAAATCATCCCGTGTAAAGCGTTTCTTTCTCGATATAGCTTCCTGTCCGTCTGAAAATATCAAAGATTGGCTCTGTTTCTCATATTCATTGGCATCAAAGAAATGGAAATGTTATTAATCTTGTAATTTGGAGTTTGAAGTCTACCTATCAAGGAAAATACTTCTGCAACCCCGAATCAATAAATTTTAACTAATAGTTGCGTGGCTAAATTTAATTTTGCTCGCGAGGAAGCTTTTTCTTTGAATTAAAAATGTGTTAAAAACAATTTACTTAGGAGCAATCTTTCTCTTAGAATGTTAAGCGTTAAATACTGCGTCACCTATTCAGAAATACGCGTGGAACACTGGTGTAACCGACTGCGGCAAACACGATAATAGATGACTGCCAACATAGCAAAACTTACCATCTTCCTTTTTCCTTATATTCTCAAGTTGCCAACGTGCGTAATTCTTCTGCATCTTTCGTATGATTTCTGTCTCTATCTTATCACAGAACTTTGCTGAATGTGATATCAGTCGATGGTGTTCTTGTATTCTGAGTTCCACGTTAATCCACGCAATACAACATAAAAGAGACAACAACAAGGCTGACCCGGAACAAAAGCGCTCCAACATCTGTGTTCTGTTCATTTGCTTCTCTGCTTTTTCGTGTTGTTTCATTGTTACAGCTTTCAGAAAGATATCTCAAATTCATAGACATATAGTGATCAATGTATCTTGACTTTTGAGGAGACGATCGGCCGGTTCATGAACGATCTAGTGCTCAAATAAAGTAACAAGATAAGTCCTTCAATCATGAGTGCATTTATAAAGTCCTTAGGGTCGACGTGACGGATCGAACATTTTGATTTCCTGTTGCGCTACAACACTTACTCATGAGACCTGTTCTGATGTCGTTGCATTTTTTTAAGCAAACGCGGAACAGTAGTAAAAGCGGAAACAAGTCAATGCTTTAGTGTTACGGGAAGTATAATTGATAATAATCATAGTATTTTGCAGGGGTATAAAGCTACATTTTCGGTGAACTTTTGACCTGCACATAAAGCTGTAAACGATTAATTCATTTGACTGACTTGAGCGGAACATGGCTGTGGCAGACTTGTACTGAGTTTTTTACCGACTTGCCCCCTCTGTAAAGTGTGTTCTTGTTTCGCTGAAACACATCTCGAAGTGTTCAGGTTTTCAGTCACGTCCATAACTGATAGATAAACATCTGCGAGAATCGAGAAAAACGTAAGAGATACCCGACAGGAAAATAAAGCTTCCTAAAATTAGTGAGATTTTCTAATTCGTGTTCATTTGATCGCGTAGACTTATTTCAAGCTTCATTTTTAACTAAAAAAAAATGACCCGCTACCAGCAAAATTTCTCATCATTTTAATTTCCTTCTCTCCTCGAGACACTTCAGACATTTTTGACAACTGAAGAACAAAAGCTTTTTCTCTTACGCACAGTCCTTTCAAAGTTATGATGTCGTTGCATTTTTCTAAGCAATGCGGAACAGTAGTAGAGGCGGAAACAAGTCAATGCTTTAGTGTTACGGGAAGTATTGATAATCATCACATCATCTTGCAGGGCTATATTTTCTGTGAACTTTTGACCTGCGCATCTCTAGAAATAGTGTGATTGTTGGTTACCAAGCACATCGTTTACATTGCGGGCTCTTTTCGATTCACTCGCTGCAAGCTTACACAATGTGAGGAAGTTAGCTTCATTTAGCTGTAAACGATTACTTCATTTGACTGATTTGAGGGGAACATGGCAGTGGCAGACTTGTAGTGTTTTTCCGACTCGCCCCCTCTGTAAAGTGTCTTTTGTTGCGCAGAAACACATCTCAAAGTTTTCAGGTTTTCAGTCACGTCCATAATTGGTTGATAAACATCTGTGAGAATCGAGAAAAACTTCAGTGATACCCGACGATAGGAAAGTAAAACTTTATAAAATTAGTGAGATTTTCTAATTCACGTTAATTTAATCGCGTTGGCTTATTTCAAGCTTCATTTTTACGTAAAAAAAAAAGGAATTGCTACCAGCAAAATTTTTTATCATTTCAATTTTCTTCTCTTCTCGAGACACTTCAGACTTTAATGAAAACTGAGGAGCAAAAGCTTTTTTCTCTCGCGCACAGTCCTTTAAAGGCGCGCACGAACTGGCGAGCTCGTCATAAGTCAATGGACAGTTTCACGAAAACCTCTGTATTGTGAATTTTGGTATTAAAAATCCTGTCTCGTTAACTTCTCTCCATGTGAATTTTAGCACCTCTTCTGTTTTATTTTTTATCCGTTGTGTTAATCTCAACCCTTGATACAAGGCATGCGGATTTTTTTTCCAGGACTAAATTACGTTAATATCATTTTTCCATGTATATAATCCATGGTGTGCAAATGTGACGCGTTTATAAAACTGTTACTCCCTTTAAGCCCGCAGGGCGAGGAAGTTCAGCCAAATGGCGATTTTTACAATTCTACAACCACCGTTCGGGATTTTTAAGCTTTGTACATACTAAAATAAACTGATTACCGCTGCCTTGGCGAAAAACGCAAATCAGTGGTTGGAAAGATGATTAAAATGCCAATTCATTAGCTTGTCTTGTAACATAGCCAGTAAATTTGTGTAATCAAATTCAATTGCGCGAGCGTGCTTCATATTCCTATTGTGCACGCTCATGACGTCAGCAAACAAATCCCTCGAGAAAAAAATTTTCCATCGGGTTGAAAATGTTATAAAACAATTGGTTCATATGTCAGCTGTGCGTTCATCGAGATATGAAGCACTTGGGAAGTTTGGAGAGCACTCAAGAAGCTAGAGTTACAACCCTTACGCATCTTTCGTAGATGTTTCAAGAAGCTAGAGTTGCTCTCGGCTACGCCTCGAGCAACTCTTACGCATCTTTCGTGCTCTCCAAACTTCCCGCGTGCTTCATATCTCGATGAACGCACGCTGACGTATGAACCAGTTGTTAAATTTCGTCTACCTTTTATCCAGGGTACACCAGATGAAAAGCTAATAAATACAATCGAACTAAAAAGCTTTCATGTAAGACAAGACCGACCTCAGTGTTTTTTAGTCGCTAGGCAACGCCTACAAGTAAAAGCAATATAGTGTCATGCATTATCATGATTTCCAACTGTGGAGAACAGGTGAATAGGCTGTGTTCCAAAGTCGCCGAATCTTAACATTATCAGGCTGCAGCAACCGGAGATAAATGTATCTCCAGCGCATTTGGTTAGCTTTTCTCTGTCTTCACCGTCAACTTTCGGTTTCAAATGGTGGTATGTGTCGTGAAGAGAAATCCCAGCTTGGTTTTGCTCTTCTCAACTCTTCCTACAGCACAAAGCAAACATCACACTATTCTGACTGCGTATATATATGCGCGCTTGATCCTCAGTGCATGAGTTTTAATTTCTGGTAGGAGAAGAAAATATGTGATTTGAACAGCAAAGCAAGAGAGCATAGTTGCCGGGCCTGCTTTGTGACAGATAAGTCATCCACTTACATGGGAATGGCGAGGTATACCGGCTACCCAGGTAAAAAAAAGTTTTTTAAAATAGCTGATTAGAAGATAAAGTATGCATCTCAGACACTCAGAAACCATTGCATTTCCTTGTTTATCAGTCAACAGCTAGATGGTTGACTAAACCAGGTACTCTGAAAAAACATCTACGATAATAATATTGCTTTGGACCGGAGTTAACGCTCATCAGAGGATCTCATTAGGGTGATTGCTTTTACGGCTTGCGGTTGAAATGTTTTCAAATGTATGGCTTATGGTTAATAACTCTCTTTTGTGGTCACAAGAAAAATTATTTTTACGGTTATTTTTTTTTAACGACTAACGGTTAAAATTTGTCAATTCTTACACCTAACGGCTAAATTATTTCACTGTTTTATGGCTAACGGTTAACAAGGCCATTGAGACAACGATGTCAAGAGGGAAGCAAAATAAATATCAGGTGAATAACCTTAACACATTTTAGGAGTAAAATGACTCTAATTGGAAGCCGAGGGATGCCGGAATCTTTTTCGTTCGCAGTTTTAATTCCCTGAAATTGATTTTTCTAAGAAAGCTTTTTAAAGCTTAGAGGTATCCTTTTTCCTCGGTATTGGATATCAAAATTGATACCAAGTTTTAAATCGTTCATAGTTTATATTGCAAGCGTTTGATGTATGTTAGTCCGGATATGTCGTTAGTTTCTTGGCTCTGTTGTAATCACTATCAAGCTGTTTACTGGAGCCTTGTTTGACTAGGATTTGAAATAAACTTTTTTCAATTTTTATTTTGTAAAGAGGGATTCTTGCTAATTGCGTCAAGGTAGCTCAACAGAGTATATAAATAAACCTTGGCAAATGTAATATCAAGCGTTAACTCTTAAAACTAGCCTTTTTGTATGTGTGCCGTGAAGCTCCATTCTTAATGAATTATGATTCAGTCACATTCTTAATAATAAAGTTTTTATCTTGGCGACCGTAGTACTCTGTTATTATTCATTAACCAGCATGTGGTCAAACACATACCCTATTAATAAACATCATATTAATAAACATCAACGCCTTTAATTTCATTGTCAAGATCTCGATTGAAAAACGCCATACATTTCCCTTTCAACTTGTGATAAGGAGATTGTTTGATATGAGTTCAAGATCAAACCTCCGTGCTGATAAATCTAATACAGCTGCCTGTTTTTTTTTTTTTAATAAGGTCGTGATATCCTAGGGAGAAGCCGAATAATTACCACTTCCACCAAAAACAAAAACAAAAAGTTTCTCATGGGTGTCACAACACTCAAACAAACATAGAGATGTGTAATAAATACGATTAGTTTTAATTGAAAGAGCTTCCATCACTAACGTACGTGGCTTATTTTACACGGCCGGTGATCTTCTGAAAAAATAAAATAATTAAAAATCTAAGAGTTTTCTTTTTGCATATTTGACGATGAAAAAAATATTATTACATGTTTTACTTAAGCTATGAAGTATTATAATGCTTACTGATCCTAAATAATTGATGACCTGGGAATCCATAAAATCCGTTAGGTGTTGAAACGACGGTTTTTAATGATAGATACTACATTTGTACCAGAAAATCCCAATTTCGGGTTAAAAGCTTTTGTTAGTAATGGTTAGGTACTTATACGAAGTTTGGTCATCTTCTTTCGCAAACACACACACAACAACAAAAAATTCAAATTTAGCTTTAAGTTTCTAAAAACTTAACGTTGTTGTTTGCCAATTTAATCAAGAAAGTTCGCAAATAACCTAAATCATTGGTAAATATTATATAAAATAGAAACTGAAATATTTGAAGTCTCACTGTCTCGCTATTTTGGTGAGATGGAATCGTAATTTTTTTTAGATATATTCACGGCAAAAATGGTGCTAATCACCCTGGTTTAACGTTCCAGATTTTTTATTCTTACCATCCTCTAATCGATACACGCTGGTAAATTTTAACATTAAAAATTTTTAATCCCCAGCATTAGCGAGGTCCTGCAGCGCCTTGAAACAGATTGACCCTGCAGCACAAAGTGGCTCGTACATCATTGACCCTGATGGCGAGGGAGGCTTCCCGCCCTTATTTAACGTCACCTGTGACATGAGTGACAAGAATGGAGTTGGCGTGACAGTCATTGGTCACGACAGTGAAACCAGAATGCTAGTGAAAGGATGTAATGGCCCAGGATGTTATTCACGAGACGTTCATTACACAGGAACGAGTCTGTCCCAGCTGGCCAATCTAGCTAAAGTTTCCCTACATTGTGAACAGTTTATCAAGTATGAGTGCCAATCTTCGTCCATCGTTTGGCAAAACAGAACATTCGCATGGTGGGTATCACGCGATGATATCAAGATGAATTACTGGGGAGGAGCCTCGCCTGGGAAAGGAGACCAAATCTGCGCATGCGGAATGAACAACACGTGCCCAAAACCCGACATCGTTTGTAACTGCGACAATAACGACGGAGTTTTACGAGAAGACAGCGGTCTCCTCACCGACAAGAAAAGTCTTCCGGTTAAACAGTTGAGGTTTGGAGATACTGGGGAGGCTTTCATACTTTGGGAAAGTTTAAGTGCTATGGCATAGTTTAGATGCTTGCTAATTTAATCTACCCGATTATCCTGACATATGTTGGACTCGAACGCAATCGCGATATATTTCAGTCTAATGTACCCTAGTTCTATAATTGTCGAGGAAAAAGTACACGCACTTGGTATGTCTATAAACTTCTCTACTATCTGTAAATTGTAAACTAGAAAATCAGATGTGTTCGTATCACGTACTGGAATCAGTCTGTCTGGCTGTAACGTCGAATTGAAAAAAAAAAAAAAAGAACTACAAGTCATAGTTACAAGTCGTTAATGGTACTTGATGCAAATGAAAGTGTATTTGAAATGAGAGATGAGTTGCGATGTTGGAGCCAACGTATGTAAGGACTTCCCTGTGCATGTACGTACAGTATAATTCCACAAGGAAATCATCCCATCATTAATTACTTTCACACTCCAAAATATCTAAAAGGACCTAATATAAGCATGGCCGGAGTTTTTTTTTTTAGATACAGTTCATTGTCTTCCACTCTTAGCCAACGTCATATCTCTCGGTAAAGTTTCAACTCATATAATATGAGAACTTGAATACCAGAAGAATTTTATTTCAGCATAATTTAAATTGTACATAGACAAAGTAATGTAGAATAAGTCGAAAGTTTGCTCTTTTTTGTCAAGCCGGTTAATCCTGGTTTTTAATCACTGCAGTAATATTTTACTTCTGATCCAACTTAAACAAATTTCCCTTTACGTAATAATTGTTGTATTGATCATCGTCACGACCGTTTAGATATTTCATTCATAAGAAGAAGTTAGCAATAATTACTGTAATACTTAACGTTTCGTTAACAGCCCTTGTTTCAACAGTGTGCAATTATGATTAAGAGGTTCTTTATAATTATCATTGATTTAATAAATAATAAAATATTAAAAATTGAATGAATGAATTAATAACAATTTTATTGCAAGCAGGCAGACAGTTATATATCATGTACGAGATTGCATTAAATCTCAACGTCTTCGCAAAATGTTTCCTTTGTTGCTCTTTAAAAATGAAACCATATTTAGATATTTTAGGCAGTTCATTTCGTTTCCTCTTTTCTCAAGCCTAAGTCTCATTGATTTGACAGAGAAAAGCTCATACGGTTCTTGGAATGTCAACGTTCTTATACGTTTATACGATTATATCCTCCTCTGGTGATTGTGATAAATAGACAAGAACGACACTAGGTCTGCGTACTTCACTTGTCACCGCTGGCGGCGTTTCAATTTTATTGTTCTCGTTTTCTTCCTGATTGTCTTCAGTAGCTTCTTGTATTGGAGAAGGAGGACGGTTTGACGTAAGCGAAAGCCGAGACGTGCTTTCTGGAGCACCTAAAGCTAAGACAGGGAGAGAAAATGGTACATGCGCTGTAGGATATGGTGGTGAAACAGGCTGGTGTGTTGGACTTGATGGTGGGCCCCGTGCAAGGGCAAGGGGGGGAAGTGATGCTGAATTCGGCAGATGGGGTGATACATGGTAATGTGGAGATGCTGATGATCTGTGTTGTGGTTGATGGTAGGGCGCCATTGATGTGATTGCCGTAGTTTGTATTGCAGGAGGAGAAACTCGCCTTGCTCTCGATGGCACAGGATAAATGGCATTTTCTGATAAAATTCTGCCAGTTGATGGTAGTGACAATTGCTGACGTGGTTGGCTCGTCGCTACTTCATAGCGTCTCATGTTTTCAACGGGAAATTGCATGGAAACAGGGCGACCGACCACCAGTCTTGGTCGTTGGGAAGGTAGATTAAGGTACATGTTGGTGGTATCTACCCCCTGTGATATCCCACCTGATGGTGATGGAGGACGCGACTGATAAGCCGGAGGACTCAGACACTGGCTGTCTTCTGACGCCGTCGACTCGCGTCGGTTCCTCCTGCCACAGACTCTGTCATAAGCAGGTGGTGGGGTACCCGCGGGTAAACTTGCTGATGCTCTATATGAAGGGACTACCTGTGGTTGATATGGTGGAGGCATTGGAACTGAGTGCCGATGATGTTGACGAGGAGGAGCACGATTGGAGTCGACGATAATTCGCGAGCGTTCGGCTTCAGTTCGTTGGCGTTCAGGAGGATGTGTTGCATGTGATCTCCCGACAAGAGCAAGTTGGCGATCGATGTATTCTCGTGTCATTCTAGACGTACTTGGAATCGAAGTCATGATTGGTGTTTCCACGGCCTGATCGATAACTCGTCGTTCGTCGTTGTAACGTCGCTCGTCGTCATAGCGTCGTTCGCGATATATAATACGTTCAGGATTAATCCCTTCGGCTGAGCTATTAGTAGATCGACTATACGTTGCAGAATTATTTGTAGAAATTGTTGAACTAACTCCTCTTGAAACGATCTCGTTTGAGGCAAAGGCTACAAACTCTTCTCGGCTCGGTCTGTATTGTTGCGGATCCCTTCTCGATTTCGAACGATAAAACTTGAAGTAAATTACACCCGACCACAAAAGCACAAAAATAAGCAACACTCCAAATCCAATAAGAGCGCCTGCACTCATCTGATCTATGTCGCTTTTAGAGTTTTGAAAGTGTACAACAGCTATAATTATAATAGCTGTTACGCACAAAATCATCAGCCAACACACGATGCTCACCCAGAAGATCTTTCTTCTCCTTCGCGTCGAGGCCAGTTCAGTAGAATTTCGCCTATCTGACAGTTCATTTTGTGCTTGAGTTGCCGGCCCATCTTGGCCAACGGATTGTCCACTGCTCATTTCAGTCTTGAATAGCTAATCGTGTTTAACTTTATCCTTAATCAACCGATAAAACAGCTGTTTTTGCTCTCACTGAGGCTTCGCGACCATTAATGCCGAAACAATGTCAGCAATTGTTTCTAATTTGAAGAAACAACAGCTTTACCTATATTGCCCTTCTGTAAAAACCAACTCGCTAAACATCATTCCTGTGGCGAGCCTTTTTCGATCATGTCCGGTGACGTGACAAGTAATTGAGCCTGTTGTATATTGCAGTTTTCGTTCTACTTTATGGAATCTCGAAAAACCTGGATTCAATCAACGATTATCAACAGACGGCATTTTATATGTTTATGTTTTCTGATGTGACTGTTTGGCCTGTGTGAAAAAGCATAACAGTCTTAAGAATGTTTCAAAATAAGCTAAGAAAAGAATCTTTGTACTGAAATATTGGATCACTGGTCAAGTTCAAGCCTTAGAGCTCCTACAGTAAATTGTTAAATTCCTTTTGTTCCTTACCTAATCTAATTCAATATCGTATTATTAAATTTATTGCTGTCTTCTCTAAGATAGTTTCATCGAAAAGAGCACTCATCACGAAACAAATAGGAAGATGAAAAAGTGATCTAGAGCTTAGAACAGTTCTAGATTACGATCCGAAAAATGTCAAGACTTCATTATTATCTGATTCAAAATATTGACAAACACCATATTGTTCTTGAGGAGAAAAAGTTTTGCTTCGTTTGGTTTGCGTGTCTGGAATTCTAATAACTTCCCGTGGTCCACTATGTGTAAGGCATCACTTTTATTTTTGTTATAAAAGTGTGAATAATGAAATTTTTAGATAAATTTAATTGATGCAAAGAGAAAGAAAAGGCGATTTGGCGAAAAACTGAGAACACTCCGAAAAGATACCCGTTAGGGCACAGTTTTTCTAATGCATGTAGTTCACAATATGTTTATCATCATATTTCCCGTTTTGTGGTTTGTTTTTGATCATGTTGGTTTGGCTGTTTCCCTGTCTTTCTTTTAAGACATTTCCTCTATTTTACATCTTTTATGCTGTTTTTGTCCCGCGAGAGCACGCCAACAGTCACATGAAAGAGTCCTTGTCGATCACTCGCTAAGTAAAATGTCTAGTCGTCTTTTCATGAACATAGAAAAATTTATGCTGGAATTCTTTGGAAACTGATGAAATATCTTGGTTCGATTTTCAACATTTAGAAGTTTTTCTGTCTAAAAACAGAAGAAAATTAGTCTCCTGAGAAGTGAAAGGTCAAAAGACACCATGAGTAAATTATCTTGATAATTGGTTATCATAATGATTAGAGCTGGCTTTGTGTGTCTCCCTGGCAAGTTGCCTTAGTCTATTAGATATACCGGACAGCCTGTTCTAAGACTTGCTCGAAAGCTGGCTTGGGAACTCGTTGAAAAATGCAAACGGAAAGATAAAATGTAGGAAAAAAAGCTTTTTGTATCTGTCCTTGTAACTATGGAGAGATTAAAAGTTGCTCTCGGCCCAGGAGAGGTTTCGTTGGATTGCATGACCTATCGAGTAGAATTTTTCCAAAAAAAAAAAAAACTACTGGTGCCTAATTAATCGATCGTGTCTAAGCACCATGTAATGATAATTTGGTTCAAGTGAGCGTAAACTCGTCTTCACAAATGCTATACACGACATCATCCCTTCCATTATTTTAACGCAATTCATGAAAAATCTTTTCAGACTTGCGATTTCAGTTTTAGATCGGTATAAGATTCTTTCTTTCTAATTGTATTAGTTAAAGATAAGGCACAGTTGATATTTCAAGAGATATTTTTTTTATATCATTTTGACGCTTGACCCTAGTTCTAACCTCAAGCAAAATTTTCCATCTACACCGAGAAATTTGCTGATAAATAAAGGCTCGAGTTTGAAGAATTTGTACCGTACTTACAAACTAAATCTTGACCCCATAAATGACAGGACTCCCATATCGAAAAAAAATAATAAAATGGAAAACAACCAGAAGCGATGGTGTGTCTATATGGAGTAAAATACGAAAGTAAAGCTTTTTTTTGCGACTGGCGGGCTTCTTTGAGATTTGAATCGATAACAGTTTTTAATCTGGATTGACTGGAATTTTTTCATTTCCTTTTTTCATTTGCGTGAGGTTCAAAAACGTTCTAGACAATGTCTGTGTCTCTTTGGTATTGCCGTCTGGCGACAGAGCGATATTGATAGTGAATTTTAAAAAAGTGTGTTTCTAACACCGAAAACAATCATGATACTTAGCATTGAGATATTTTTAACCTGAAGGTAATTGACATTCAACAAGAGGGGGGTGAAACTGAAAGTGCATCGGGACAAACTGACCGTAACCTTCCCTTATTCCCTCCAAGTCATTCCTGCCCTCCCTGTGATGAACATAGAACATAAAACCAATAATAGGCTGGAAGGTCACACCTGGTTCATGAAGCTTACATCAGTTAGGATAGTGAATGACTCTTTCTCTTTCCCACTCCCCCTCCCCACTCCGTCGTCTTATCAACCCCTCCCCCCACCCCCTCTAGACCTCTCACGGCAATAAGCACGTAAGATTTTAAAATTACACCTGATTATGTTGTTTATCTTAGATTTCAAGTTTTTTTTAATGCAACGATTAACAAAGACACGGCTCGCAAAATCTTTTAGTCACACTTTTTACCAGTTCGACATCGATTGCCGTTTCCAAATTTTTTCCGGCGTACTAAAAAAAAAAAAAAGAAAAGAAATCCAGATTCCGCAGAATCGGCGCTAAGCCGCAATATTGAAATACTGTATTAATCTTACATCTAGCTGCCTAACCATAAGTTTATTTCTTAAAGGCAAACTAGAATGTTGGAAAACGTGGAAAGTGATGTTAATTTGATGAAGTGAGTGCTGACCTTAAGCTGGTCTCTGGTCTGAGTTATAACCCATGGATGGAGTTACCAATTGAATACTTGTAGTGGGTTGTTGTCGAGGGTGAAAAAGGCAAGGCTTTCTAGAACACGTGGAACGCATGTATTAACATTTTCGAGATAAACGTGATTAGTGAAAGTTGTGGGAGGAGATCTTTCCACGCTCAACATCTTTTGTCGTTAGTGCTCTTAAGTATTCATATTGTATAACAGAAGTTCCGCGTAACAAATTACTCACAGTTGATTCAACATACGCGAGATGGGATGCAGATTAGTTTTTGCGGTTTTAAAAGTCGGCTTATCTCCGTCACATGTACGAAAGAGCCGAGCCTTGAGTTAAAAAGCCGCAGGCTATTTGAAGTAATTCTAATCCACTGTGCCTTCATCTCCAGATTCTTTAACGGGGGTGCAGGACGTATGACTGAATGACAACACGAACTCACGGAGTCATTTCCAAAAGACCCTCTAACCTCTTGCTACCGAGGAACATACGGTTGGAAACATTTGTGACAAGATCTGAGGGTATGAAATATTGTGCAATATCACCCTGTGTACCGACTGAGAAACGAATTCAACTAGACTGATGAAGAATCTTCAAGTGAGCTCATTTTAATCTTAAAAGCTGTTTCTGCTCATTATCGAAGTCAAGTAAAAACAAAAAACTTGAGAGGAAACTTGGTTGGTATTTTGTCTCCTCATCAAAATCAAAGTCACATATCACTAGAATTTGAATAGGCCTGCTTAACCCTTTAACTTCAAGATCAAATTTGTAATTCTCCTTACTGTCAACCATACACTTCTTATAATGTTAATTCAGAGAATTTAGTATTAGATCAATTAATTATCCCCAAATTTATATTTTTCTTTATTCTCATCACTTATCTGGTTGATATTTTATTGATATTGTAAGGAGAAATTATATCTTGGTCTCTTTTGGAAGTTTTAAGGGTTAAGAGGTCACCCAGCCAAAAAGACTAAGAAATTTGAGTGAACTTTGTTCAGTTCCCCTTATTTTTGAGCAAGCAGTAGTTATTTGTCCATGGTCCACTCTTAAGGAGGAAGAAAATCCAGAAGGGGTAAAGATGGAGGGAGCCTTTTACTGAGAAATCTAAAAATGAAAATAAGCTTTGAGGGCAAATGATAATAAATCAGGTGTATGAGGAGAAACTGGGAAACACTTAACCATTAGTCATCATGGTATCTAAACTTTAGTAAGATTATTCATTTAATATATTTAATCTCAAAAAAGATACAAAAATACAATATAACCAAATGTCTACAAATGCATAAAAAATTGAAACTCAAAGGTGGAGTCTAAAAAGTACCCTAAGGACAAAGCTCAGGATAACCCACCATCTAATACACAAAACTAATCTTTCATTGTGTCTGTTTTGTTCAAACTTGAGTTTGACTGTAAAAGGGAAATACCCAATCTATTAATTCAGTATTCTTAGTACTATATCCTATAAACTCTTCTACTAAGTCACATAAATCTGGGGTGCTCAGCTCCCTTAATCAAAATTTATTGTTAACTGTAAATAGAATGTAAACTTCATGTTAATTATTCCATTCATTTTTGTGGGATTTATTATTATCAATATTTGGTACAAAATGTTCCATAGCTTAGCTATATATGATAGTTCAATAATTTGTGTTGTGCATATTTATGGATAAGAGGTCTGTTTACGTTTTTAAGGCATCATTCTTTATATAAAACACAACACAAAACACAGTTACACAACTCACCAAAAGACTAAATTTAGTTATAACATAGCTAGTAAAATGTCTGATCAAATTCAATTGCATGAGCATGCTTCATATTCCTATTGTGCACACTCATGACATCAGCAAACAAATCCCTAGAGAAAAAAAAATTCCCAATGAAACAGCATCTTTGTTTTTCTTTTGGATAAGATAATTTTGTTTTCAATCAGAAAATAAAGTTCATTTACATGCATGAATTAACCTGTCAGATTTTTGACCAATCTAAGACAAGATTGTTTACAGTGTAGCAAAATGTTTTCCTGAAACAAAATTATCAACACACTGAAGTGTAGCAGAGGGAATATTAACCCTTTTACAACATTTAAACCATCAGGTTTAAAATGTTATAAAACAATTGGTTCATATGTCAGCTGTGCATTCATCGAGATATGAAGCACTTGGGAAGTTTGGAGAGCACGAAAGATGCTAGAGTTGCTCTCAGCTATGCCTCCAAACTTCCCAAGTGCTTCATATCTCGATAAATGCACAGCTGACTTATGAACCAATTGTTAATTGATGTAGCACCATAGCTTTGCTAAAGCACAGCCTCAACAGTTAATAACAATTTAATTGCAATTTTTATCTGAGCAATTTGGGCACATGACAGAGAAAAAAGTTCTCAATGGATGCAAAAAATTGACATGTTTTGCTGCCAAACATCTAAATATTGAGGGGCATCCTTGCTAGTTTAGCTCTAATAGAGAAAAGAATGAATTTCCAAACCTTATTTAAAAGGAAATTGATCAAAGCCTGGTTAGGTATGCAATTGCTTCCAATATTTTTTTTTAATTAACAATTTTTTCACTAACACCTTAACACCAAATGCTAAGCAGTAATAAACTAAATCCTGTAAGGGTTTTGAAAATCAATCAAGTCCTGTTTGCACCCAATAGGAATGTTTTTTTAGTCACATGTCTTTGATCTGAAGAAAATGTTGGTTATTCAATCAATCAATCAATCATGCCTACTTTAACATTTCCCATTAATGAGCTGCAAGACTGACTTATGTCACGGCTGGTAACAAAAATCTCAAGATCCAGTAAACTATACACTGAAATACCTCCTTCAAAATACCACCTCAGATGAAAAACTTTATCATAATTTCCATTTAATACAGTATATATCAATTATTATTATGTCCAGCACGAGCAGCTTCCATTGATGCTCTTTGTCTCCACTCTTTAAGAACTGGATTGTAAATTTGAACATCGTGCCAAGAATCCTCACAAAGAGCTTATCATCAAAAGATGTGACTGTACAGTCTCAGCAGTTTAATTTTGTATCAAGAGTGCTCCACCCATTTAGCTTTGGGTTGAAAAAAATCACTGAAGTTGAGTCAAATTCTCCTACTGCATACAAGAGTCCTCTGCACACAGCTGTATCGTGATACTCGTTGTAAAAAGGTATCGCAGGGAGAGAATCCCAGGTCATAGTACCGAGAACAAAACAATTAATTTTGTCGTCATCATTTTCATCAGATCGTGGCTCATAACCAGTGAGTACCACTACATCTTTATAATTATTTAATGACGAGCGAGGTTTGAGTGAAATGTCCTGTGAGAGCACCGGGAACAGGAACAAATCCAACGCATTCATTACGATCCTCGTACATGCGAGACTTTTGGAAACCAGCTCTTGATCAAGTATTCTTCGAAGACTGGATTTTGACATAACAATTTAATTGCAATTGTTATCTGAGCAATTTGGACACATGACAGAGAGAAAAGTCCTCAGAGGATGTAAACAATTGACATGTTTTGCTACCAAACGTCTAGAGATTGAGGGGCATCTATGAAATTTTAGCTCTAATTAAGAAAATAATGAATTTCCAAACCTTATTTAAAAGGAAATCGACCAAAACCTGGTTAGGTATTCAATTGCTTCCTGCATTTTTTTAATTGAGAATTTTTTCACTAAGACCTTAACACCAAATGCTAAACAGTAATAAACTTAACCCTTCAAGGGTTTTGAAAATCAATTAAGTCCTGTTTGCACCCAAAATGGAACATTTCTTTAGTCACATGTCTTTGTTCAGAAGAAAATGTTGGTTATTCAATCAATCAATCAATCAATTAAGCCTACTTTAACATTTCACATTAATGAGCCACAAGACTGACTTATGACACGGCTGGTAACAAAGATGTCAATATCCTGTAAACTATCCACTGAAATACTTCCGTCAAAATACCACCTCAAATGAAAAACTTTGTCATAATTTTCATTTAATACAGAATGTATCAATTATGTTGTACAGGTAAAGTAATCAGAGCAATTATTTCCCTGATCCCTTTAGCCCATTGACATTTATTGGAATTTCTAGTAAAAAACTGAGAAACTCTTCCACCCTTTCGAGATGTGATTTCTGTAACCATTTTCCATAAAGCATTTGGGTAATTTAAGCAAAGATGCTCGTATGCCAGTAAAAGGATAACTTGGAATATTTGATATTTCATTCCACTTACTTGTATTTAAATCAAAACATTGCACATCACTCTGAGATTCCTTTTCATCTTCACCTCCAAATAAATAAACAGTGTCTCCTACACCCACAATACCACTTCTAGCACGAGGAATACTTAGACTAGGTACCAGACTCCACTGGTTGACAGTTGGATCAAATATCTCACAGGAAGACTCTACAGTGTGAAATGACATGTCACCAAATCCTCCAACAACTAAAATCTTTCCACCAACTGCCACAGCAGCAGCTGACCTTCGAACATCAGACATACTTGAAATCTCAGCCCATTGGTCAGTTAATGGATTGTAACACTCTGCACTGTTCTGACAGCACTCACCATTGTGACCAGCAATGACATAAATATGTCCTTGAAGTAAAACTGTATTATGTCCTGCACGAGCAGCTTTCATTGATGCTCCTTGTCTCCACTCTTTAAGAACTGGATTGTATATTTGAACATCACGCCAAGAATCCTCACCACCTATCAAAAAGAGCTCATTATCAACAGATGTGACTGTAAAGTCTTTGCCAGTCAATGTTGTATCAAGAGTGCTCCACATATTTAGCTTTGGGTTGAAACAACTCATTGAAGATGAGTCAAAATCTCCCACTACGTACAAGAGTCCTCCGCACACAGCGGTATCGTGATGGTTGTTGTTGAAAGGTATCACGTGGAGGGACTCCCAGGTCATAGTACTGAGAACAAAACAATTAATTTTGCTTTTATTATTTTCATCAGATCGTAGCTCATAACCAGTGAGTGCCACTACATCTTCATAATTATTTAATGATGAGCGAGGTTTGAGTGAAATGGCCTGCAAGAGCACCGGGAACAGGAACAAATCCAATGCATTCATTACGATCCTCGTACACGCGAGACTTTTGGAAACCAGCTCTTGATCAAGTATTCTTCGAAGACTGGATTTTGACATTGAAAACAATCTAACAGATTTCAACAATTCTGGAAGGGTGCACTCCCTGGATGGTAGATCATGTTTCACCCAGGCCATCACTGCTTCATACACTTCCTCTTCTTCAGCCACGTTGATCTCGTCCATGCAAATCAGTTCTTGTACTTTTTCCGAATCAAATAAAGTGAAATCTTCAGATCTAGAGAAGTCTACAAAATTCTCAGCTTGAAAAGAAACTGCAGCTTGCCTTAGTTGCTGGCAATCGTACTTAGAAGCGAACGATTCTAAAGCTAAACAATTGGAAACATTCATCATTTCATTCTGGATGAAAACTGCAGCTTCCCTTTTCAAAGTTGGTATTCTCAAATAGTAAGCGACCTCGACCAAATCTTTCGCGTTGGAAGAGTCGATTGCTGTTTCACCGGTATAAATATAATGAAGAACATCGCTAATCGTGGCAGATTTCATCCCCTTTAACTCGACAAGGTTACTTTCTTTTCCCCCCAATTCACTTGTAAACATGGCCCGGAAGTAAGGGCTTGCAGCTGACAGAACACATCTGTGGGCAGGGAAGTCCTTTCCCCCGGCTCGAATTGTTGTATCACAGAGAGAATTCGATTCTCTGAGTTCGTTGAGTTTATGGAGTAGCTCTTCCCTAAAATCACCGTACGTAATTTCATGCTCTTCATCAATTTCAGCCTCTACCTGATTGCTACTGGCCGCCATAGTAGGGAGTTACTACTAAGTTTTCCTAGCGACGGCTGACGCTACAGACGGCGACATCGGTGGACGAAAGAGACTGGGGCGAGGACGGCGTTGCTCCCGCCAAACATATAAACCTTTAGCACCCTTCATTTTCCGACGGCAACTTGCCGAGTGCTTTGAAAATGAACAAATTTAAGACTTGTCGAGAGATACTTTTGCTTAGCTAGGCAGACAACAACAATTCGGACGAAGAGTTTGTTCCTTTATGACTTTTATCGTTCAAAAAATCCAGATTTCGGCTATCAATCGTGTGATGTTTTCGATGTAGAGAAGCTTAGAAAACATAAATTCACCTGATTGCAAGGCAGAATTTCGAGTTGAAAAGGCAGACCTTCCTCGCCCTGCACATGCCTTACATATTCCCGCAGTGTTCCACCGCAAACAAAGAAGCATTTTTGATGGTTTGGAGGGACTGTGTGTGCTGCTGAGACGAACAAGTTACCCCTGCAGATTCAGCGATATGATTCAACCTTTTCCAAGACCAGCTTCTGTTTCGAGTTTAATTACAAATGAAGTCATGGATTTTACTTATGAAAACCAGTTATCTCGTAACAGAGTGGAATAGAGATGTACTAAGCTCAGTTGCTCTTCAACAGTATGCTGAAACCATCTCAAGGAAAGGATCTCCTCTAAATAACTGCTTCGGTTTCATACATTGGACGGTCCGACCAATCTCTAGACCTGGGAATGTACAGGGGATTGTGTATAATGGACACAAACGGGTTCATGGACTAAAACTTCAGTCCATTGCCTTATTTACCGAATGGACTTATAGGAAAAATCTTTGGGCCAGCAGGTAAGAACTTAAATATTTCACTGAATCTTAATAAGATTTATTACAATGTTATTCATATGGGTTCCCGAAATCTAAGATTTTTTATTAACTTTTGTTTCAAAAGGACAAAAACATGACGCGGGTATGCTCGCTGACTCAGGGCCTCTGAACGACATTGGGAACTTCGCCTTCTCCCCCAGCTGGTCAACCTATGCATTTGCATTTATGGCGATCTGGCTTATCCCCTTCGGATTCATCTTCAGGCGCCATATTGCCTGGGACGTCTAACCCATCAAATGGAAGATTATAATAAAGCAATGAGTGCAGTGCAGGTGTCTGTGGAATGGCTTTCGGGGGCATAATGAATTCTTTTAAGTTTTTAGATTACAAGAAAAATATAAAGATAGGTCTAAGCAGCGTAGGAAAAATGTATATTGTATGTGCTTTACTGCGAAATGCCATAACTTGTTTGTATGGTAATTGGACGTCTGAGTTTTTCGACCTGGAGCCGCCAACTTTAAAGGGGTATTTCTAGTAATCAGATTTAAAAGCAAACAAAATAAACATTGAAAACAATTATTCTTCAAGGTATGTATACTTGTGAACATGGGGCTCCCAGTTTAGTCCAAGATGCAATCTTTAAAAGTTCTGAAATACATGTAAACATTCAGCTCAAATCTTATATAACAACAACAACGTGTAGCTGATTACTTATCTGGTAGCTTTTGCACAACAGTCAAAAATGCAGTTTTCATTTGTTGTTGCTGAAGGATCATAGCTTTCATCATTTGCTGCTGACTTTCCTGTTCCTGTTGTTTTGCACTTATCTCCTGTTGTCTAATTTCGCGGTCAGCCGCTGCTTTCTCTCGACCAGTGGTTCTGCACGTCTCGAGAATTTTGAGAATTTTAATCGTGGAGTTAAATCACTGAGTCTACATGGGTATGCAAACCTTCGAAGTGCGATACACAACCCTTCAATTCCATCGCATATTGTTCCTTGTTGACATTTAAAGTAGTTAGGAAGATGTAGAGCCTCAGAAAGGACAGGAAGGTCACTCTTACGAAAACGAAACTCGGATAAACACTCGCTGTCATCCATATCATTAAGGTCAAATTTCCCATAACTTTCATAAGGAAAATCTGGGTTTTTGGAGGTATTAACATCATAAAGAAGAAGGAATTCGTCCTCTGATATATCTCCATTATCAAAACTTTGCAGAAGAATGCTACGAATCTCTCTAAAGGAAGCCATGGCTGAAATACTTATGATAAAAAACCGAAAATATGGAAACAATGCCGCCCGCGCCTTCGACTAGGTCTCTTAAGGAATTTTCGCGCCTTACGACGGCAACCTCCTCCCAGTCCGCCCTCGGTCATGACAGCCGTCATAGACATCCGTCGTCCTCGGATCTTAAGGTCCCTAGTCTCTTTGCTAAAGGTCCCTACTACATCACGGGCGACAACCGGGGGAAGAAAAAAAGACCGAAATACGAGTGGTCAGCAGTGAAACAACTTAAATAGCTCTTATAGAGACAGATTATTCGTAGTTGCAGGAAACAATGGTGTTGTGAAGCCGAAATGTTATCAAGTTATACTTCGTTAATAAAAAAGTTCAGCAATTTTCCAAAAGTTTTTACTAGAACAATATCTTTTACTGCTGTATTAACCGACGGAGGCATCGCGAAAGGCACCGGTGATGCCGGGAAAAGGCATCAAGAAGAATGATATTTACGTTATGTAACTTTTTGTGTGACGAAAAAAAAGTATCTTGACTTGTTCAAGGCGTTAATCAAAGTTGGCCTGCTTTTCACTTGAATTTTGTAATCTCGACTGTCGTTCCCGGAAAAATGAAAAGCTAAGCAACTCTGCAAAATTTGGTTCTCGATTTTTATATTTTTAGAGTCAATAATAAGTTTGTATCCACAGCTTAGGATAAAAAATTTAAAATTTCCATCAGCTGAAATCCTTTTACTGTATATTATGTATATTCAATCGCCTCCATTTCACGTGAAATAAAAGCAAGTAGGAAAATATCGAGCTTCGAGAAGCAGCCAAGTTAAGGCTAATGTGTTTACCACCCTTTAATATTTATAAGTCAAGGCCAAAGTCTATTTTAACTGACTACCAAGGACTGCATTACTTATCTTAGTAAATTGAGGTCCGTACATGACATTAAATTCATCATTTGGCTCAATGTTGTAGTCACCTTTAAAATTTTAACTCTACTTGTTCTGACAAAAAGCCGCCCTAACGGCAGATGAAATGTTGTGTAAGCGTCTCCGCGAAAGGCACATCCGTAAAAGATATATATACAAGCAACACTTTTGAAATTACTTCATGTAAGGAACACAATTTAAAGCTAGACATTAGTCACGTAATCTTCTCGTCTCTCCTGGCGAGCATTTCCTGAAATGCAATTTAATTTCTTGTTGATATTGTTGATATTTAATTTGCCTTCTTTCGCCATTTTCTGCATCTAGTAAATTGCTGAAATGACACCTCATCACATATAATCCATTTGTTTCCCACAATAAATAAGCAAAATGTTGATAATGGTGATGCAAGAGACAATAATCTCTTATGGTGACATTATATATGAGGGTCTCATTCGGTTTAACACGAATCAAAGTTAAAGCAAATCAATATCCGGTGGCAAAGGCGTGGCAGCCGTTACACTGCTGTTGAAGCGAATACTTCTTACGAAGCTGATTTTCATCTTCACAGGTGAAAATCAGTCTCTTGTTCCAGAGATGGAATGTCACCATCAACACACGGTGAATCGTACTCTAATATTCCATCTTCCTTTTCGTCTTGTTTCCCGCTGTTTTCTTGCTGTTCCTCGAAGTCAGAGCGTTCGAGGCTGACTGGCTCGCCCGGCTAAATTTCTCCCTGAGAGAGGTACAAAGGGGGAGTTTCAGCTATTACCATCTTTGTTTCCTGTCTGAAAGAGTGCTGAGGCACTGCTGCAACAAATATTTATGCCCAGTCCCTCATCTTCAGTATGCTCTGAACTGTCTGTACTCTGTACTGCCACAGTTGTATGTACTGCCAAACAGCCAGCTTATGAAAATTCAGAGAGTTCTGAATTCTTCTGCTGGGCTGGTATGAAATGCGCCTAGGTTTTGTCACATTACACCAATAATGCGCGATTTGCACTGGTTGCCTATCAGGGCACGCATCAACTTCAAGGTACTTCTCCTCACGTTTAAGGCGTTACATGGCCTTGCGCCTCAGTATCTTCGGTCCTTAATTAGTATAAAGACATCATGCTATAATCTCAGGGGTTCTAATACTCTTCTCCTAGCTATGCCATCAGCGAAATTTAAGGTCACGCTAGGTGATCGGGCATTCGCCGTTGCGGCGCCGTCATTGTGGAAGTCTCTGCCTAGTGAGCTTCGCTCAATCACATGTGTTACTAGTTTTAAAACTCATCTTAAGATCTATCTTTTTAGTCTTGCATATACTTAATAGAGATTTTATTAGCATATTATTAACATTTTCTCTTTTTATATAATATATACTTTAGTTTCTTCAATTCCCTTTTACATAAAATATACTTTAGGAATGCGCATCTGATCATAGTCATGTAAAGATGTGCACTAGAAATGAATAAATTTTTATCATTATTATTATAGTTATCATTATTATTATTATTATTATTATTATTATTATCACCTGTAGAGGTGGTAACGGTTGAATTGCTGGTATGGCCGACAGGATCCTGGCTCGTTTAAGTACAGGATACCAAGAATTTGGATTTGTAAAATAGTACACCGCCCAACGGATTGTCCTATTTAAGTCATCTTTTGCTGCATTTCCAAAGTTTCTTGGGTAATCTAACACCGTGGGGTTTTTCGAGGCCGTTACTTGTTACCCTTTGGGCCATTAAAGATTTTTGGTAAATTGGCAGCTTCGCTTCTGATATAATTTTCACTGCCGCGCAATAACTCAAGAGCGACGCTGAACAGCCTGACCACCTCCTGAACGCTAGAGGGCCTGTTCGCCTGGTGCTTTTCGTGGACTGAGAAGATAAATTTCTTCATAAATTCTCGTCAACGGACATCTCGTTTCGCGGTTCTTGTAAGTGATTATTTCTTGAATCCCGCTCCTCAAAATCGCCGATTCCCGAGTCCTGTTCATGATAGCAATCCTGCATCTTGCTCCCCTTTTATTTTAAATTCCCAGACCCTGGCCGTTAAATAAGCCCAATCCCGGATCCCGAAAAACCTATTGGGGACCCTCATATATGTCTGTCTTCAAATCAATAATAACTGAGAAGCAGTCAAAATTTGTGTATAATCCAGCCTATTACTTAACCCATAAACAGTGATAGTAGCAATAATA